CAAATTCTCAAATCCAAACCCAATTTCCAAATCCAATTTCTACCAATATCCTAAGCCCATTGCTGCTACTATATGCCAGATAACACGTATTCTCTACGTATCTGATTGACGACTAGCCTTAATCGAAAGTTCTATCTCGTGATCGGGAGGGGTAATTAACTATAGGGGCTTGCGCCTATAGGAAAACAGAACTCATATCATAAAGTCCTCACCAAATGAGGGCGAAATCTCTGGGTAGTGTCTTATCTACAATCCATCTGCCTTCCAAAATTTACCTCGGAACTTATTCAGTTAAAACTCCCTCGCCGAATAAAAAGAAAAAGCGAGCGGAGGACGGGGCCGAATTTTCGGAGCCCACAGTTGCTTTCTGCATATAGATTATAATGCACAAATAACTTATTCAGTTAAAACTCCCTCGCCGAATAAAAAGAAAAAGCGAGCGGAGGACGGGGCCGAATTTTCGGAGCCCACAGTTGCTTTCTGCATATAGATTATAATGCACAAATGTACCTCAATGCGTCCACTACTGCTGCAGGTAGATGTATTCATTCACAGATTGAATTTGACTACAGGATATTGTATTTACTGAAGTTTTTTTGCATCTACCTATAGGTGGCATGTTGTACATACATTTGTATTCGTAAGGGAACTCGTATGTATTGTAGATCTTCTACCCTTGCTTGTAGAGGTCTGATGTATTTGCTTGATGTTGAATGATAGTTAACTACAAGAGCATTGCAATATTCACTGGCTCTTGCTACATAGCTTGTAGGTGCTTGTATTCATTACTAACCTTCTCATGCAAACTGGTCACTGGGTCATTATGTTCGCTTGTATGCTTTTCATTGCTTCTTATAATTATTAATAAGTTTTTTGAAGCCACTTGTAAGCACATTGCTGTGTGCATCAACCTTCTTCATTCGCAGGAGGGTATTGTTATGTCCGCCACTAACCTCTTCATATACATTGGCTAGTTGGTTATTATATTCCTTGCATGTTGATCTTTTAGTAGTTGTAAGGGACTGTAGCCTTCATTTGCTAATTGATCGACGCCATTTGCAGGGACGTTGGAGCATTCACTGCACGACTATTACGTTGCCATTCATATGTGGCTTATTATGTGCATCGTGGGATTCTCGTCCTTGAAGGTGACTTCATAATGCTCCCAACAATCATTATGTTTTTTGACATTTATACCTTACTTGGCAAGAAGACTTTGAATTATTTGTGGGAAACCTTACACTACTGTTTGTAGGCATATTTCCACATTCCTCATTTAGACATTGCAAGCACACCAATTTGATTGAATGACTCGAGCCATATCAATTTCATCACTCCTTATGTGATAATTTTCATTTGGATGAATAGGATCGTTCATCTATGATTGTGCATCTATCATTTGAAGGTTTAATCCACTGTTTAGTGACTTGTGTCACGCCCCTCTATATGAATTCTCCATTTGATCTTGATTGAGAACCCATGATTGTCAATTAATGCTTGCATATCACAAATGATCTTTTGCTTTTTGATTGCATTTTCGTTTGACTCTTTCTTACATATTGATTATGTTTGAATGCCTTTCTCCATATGTCCCATGTTGTATGTTGAAATTCATTTCAACATTCTCCACAAGTTCATTTAGTATTCGCTTTCAAAATTGAAATGATACTTCCTTATCCTTCATTGAGAGCTTAGTGTTAGGATTTAAATCAATCCCTTGCTCATATGTTGGCTTTCATTTAGAGGATTAGGACCAATTAATATATGCATTTGAATCAATTAATCCATGATTTGCACTTTGTATATTCCTTGGTCAAATTTTCTTTGTAGTCACAAGTCTTGTTCCCTGTAGTCTTGTTCAGCACGAGTCCAAATTCAAAAGTCCTGTTCATGTTCAAGTCCACTAGTTCGTGTTTAGTTCAGGTCAAGTTCAAATCAGGTTCTTCTCAAGTCCAACTTCAAATCAAATTATGTTTGGTTGAGTTTGATTCAAGTTCTTTTGCTCATTCAATTGTATTCATGTTAAGTCCCTTGTGTTCTTTTAAGTTTGAATTGCAAGTTCATTTCATTGTTCACTTAGGTCCTTTATTTTTGTCCAAGTCATGTGTGCTTCAGATGAAATTTCGGCAGCCTCCTAACGTCTCCCCCATTTAGAGAAAAAACCCAGAGGCAGCCTTCCCCTCCATGCTACATGAGCGCTTTAGGTAGATGTCGGGTGACAACGCGACTGTGTTTTCTTCAATCCCCGCAACGCCACATGAGCGCTTAAGAGTCTTTGGCACTTGTTTAAAAAAAAATAGTGGTTTTCCCATGTATGGGTACTTAGTTTTTGTCCCCTAATGCTACATGAGTGCTTCAGGGATCACCCACCTCACTATAAGTAATTATAACTAATATTAATTCATTGTAATTAATGAGTATAACTATAAGTAATTATAACTAATATTAATTAATTGTAATTAATGAGTAATTAATTATAACTAATATTAATTAGTTATTAATAAGTAGAGAGAGGGAGAGGGGGACTACCTATAGAGAGAGATAGGGTGAGGGCTAGGTCAGACGGTTCGATTAGGCTTGGAGGAATCGGGACAGGCTCTAGTAAGAGGATTCAGTCGAGTGGCTTCAGTAGAAGATCAAGCTAGGGCTATGTCAGAGGAAGCTTACTTGGGATCGAGTTGGTTTGCAAAGAAGAGATGATAGGGGGGAGGCGGGTCGGTCGCTGATTTTAATGGGTTGAAGCAGAGGAAGGCAATGGGAAGAGCTCAGCAAAGATCTAGTGTAAGAGGCGACTGAAGCTTGCAGCTTTGGAGGTCAGCAAGAGACAGGGAATCGGAGGAGAGAAGCTCAGGCTTCGGCTCTATTGAGGTCAGACGGAGGATCGCAAGTGGAAGGTTTGGTCGCTGCTTTGGTTCTGTCGCCAAAAGACAAGGATCAAACGGCCTGGAGTTCGGTTTCGATCAGGTAGGTAGGTCGGATAGCTTGAAACTTTGGTCGGGTCTAGAGGTGGATGAAGAACGGGAAGGGAAGGAAGGGAGGTCGGTCAGCTTGGTCGACTCTTGAGACAAGAGCAGGAGGCGGAATCGGAGGAAGCCAGAGGAGCGAAGGCTTCACTTGGCTAGGCATTGAAAGATGCGAAGGGAAAAGAACCAAGGCGGGATTGGAGCAGAAATGGCGGAAGATGATTGTTTCGGCGCCGATTTGTACGAGTTAAGCGGGATTTCTGTGATTTTTAGCAGTTTTCTGGTTTTTTTTTACATATATCCGGTGGTCAATAGTCCAAAGAGGGATCAAGCAAAGCATGGGATCCTTACATTTGAATTTACCAAAGAACAAATGCATGTTGCAGAAGCAAAGAAAAGAAATAAGACAATAGTGCATATAAAAAAAGTGTCATATGAATCTGATTGAGACCTTCTATAAATAGGTTGACCGCAGGATTGACATAAAGTAGTACATCCATGGTGTAGCTGTTCAGTGAGATCAGTGATATTGTGCTTCAAATTATTGATATCACTTACTGAAAGAGCAATTTCTTCAAGATCGGCAATAATCTATAAAAAGGCAATCCATGAATTCTGTATAAACAAAAATTTTATGGGAAAAAATGTAGTATAAGAATAAATATGAAAAAATAAATGCTCTGCAACATAACCTTGCGATCTAAACAAGCTAAGGTGGTTAAATTGTCGGACTGTAGGTTCATCAAACCAGACTCCAAGTGTGACCTTAAATCTCTCTCTTTCTGCAATATTGCTTTCAACCTTACCACCTGCATATACAGCAAAATTAGACTCAGAAATCTATTGAGGAAGTCAATAGTTTGAAAATGCACTTACAAACTAGAAAACATATTTAATGTATCAAGTAGTATTGACATGGCCTCAATTGCAGAAAGAAAACCAATCATCACCACTTGGCATTTTCACCTGGTTGACAAATAGTTCTATTTAAGCACTTAAGCATCTAAGTATTAGAGGGAAGAAATACAATGAAACAAGCTCCAATACCATGGTGTACTAAAGAAAATCATATACTACAAATATGATTTTAAACACATTATTTCTAAACAAGAATGAGATGTGATTCACAAGCTTACTCATTTAAGGGAAGACTACCATGATCGGGAACATTATTGACGGAGTGACAGAAGATTGTAAAAAAAAAGTATGAATATAATCATCATGTCTCTCGAGATTAATAGTGGATTGAGTTATGGATCTACAAACAATGATAATTAACAATTGAGTGATGCATTTTGCACCCGTGAGATCAGTGATATTATTCTTCGGCGGTTTACGTCCTACCATTACAAATACCATATAAGTACAACAAAATTCGACGTTATGTCACTAAATTAGTTCTAAGGGTTGAAAGAAAGCAAATCAATACTAAGAGCATTTCCTTTGGCAGGAGACAAGTCTTTAGTAGAGCTGGAAAGAAACGCTATGATGACACAACCCAAGGAACCCCTAAAAATAATCTCCAAAACCATTCACAAGCATCGGGAAACAATAAAGGTAACATATAAAGTAATAAGAACTCATTAATAAAATGTTTTAGATACCTATGCTTTGGATAAATTGCATCAAATTGACATGTCTTTAGTTGAAGAAGCCCCACCCAAAGAAGAGAATGAAATAGAAGATAACCCTGGTGATGAGGAGAAGCAATCAAGGTATGCGGATGATGGAAAACTTCTTCTGGTTCATCGGATTTCCAACGCAACTAGATATCCTGAATCTGATTGGCTTTGACACATCTTCCATACTAGATGCACCGTGTAAGGGAAAGAGTGTGATATTATTATTGCTGGGAGAAATTATGAGAATGTTGTTTCTAGTTAGATGGTTAAAAAATTAAACCTATCTACTTGGCAGCACCCAACACCCTATAAATTATTCTAGTTGCATAAAGGAAATGAGATAAAAAATCCAAACAATGTTTAATGGAGTTTTTCCCAGGCAATAAGTTGCAAGAAGAGGTGGGTGCAATGTGATCCCCATGGATGCTTGCCATTTATTATTAGGACAACAAATGGCAATATGATAGGCATACCATCATTTTTAAAACACTTATATTGCCAAATATGAAGTTAAAATATGGTTTTGACGTCAATAAAAGATGACACTAAAGAAAAGATCGGAACCAATACATAACTTCTAATTTCTAAATATATATTCCTAAAAACAATGCAAGAAATTCCTACATATGCCCTCATAATTATGGAAGGAAATAAAGAAGAGGGATGTTCCATAAGAAGTTTGACCTTTACTACAATAATTTCAAGATTTATTTCCTACAAAGCTACCCTCAAGATTATCTCCCATGCGAGATGCCCAACATATGATTAGTTTTATTCCTAGTGCTTCCCCAGCATTCAACCTATCGTATGTGATCTAAGATGTATGAAGAATTATAAAACTAAGCAGAGACCTCGTGGCTAAAGGTCTTATTTGAGAGAGTGATAGTTCTTGCGCGGTTCCTACATTATTAGTCATAAAGAAAGACGGCATATGGAGTACGTGTATAGATAGTTGAGCATTTAATAATATTGCAATAAAATACCGATTTTAATCCATCATTTAGATGTTTTATTTGATCAATTACATAAAGTATCTTTCTTTTCCAAAATCGATTCATGAAGTGGGTATCACTAAATACAAATGAATGGAAGACAGCTTTCAAAGTAAGTGATAAATTATATGAGTGGATGATGATGTCTTTTGGTCTATCTAATGCTACAATCACTTTTATGTGATTGATGACAAAAGTATGTAGGCTCTTTATGGGAAAATTTGTAATGGTATACTTAGTAGTATCTGAATTTGCAATTGCACGATGGAAAATCATTTACAACATTTAAGACAACTTTTTGAAATCCCAAGAAAAGAAAAGTTGTATGCAAATCCTGGTAAATGCAAATAACTGCAAAATCAATTTTCCAAGATATGTTTACCTAATGTTAGGATAGAAATGCAGCTAGAAAAGTTCAAGCTATTTTAGATTGGCCTATAAGCCAATCATTCACAAACATTTGAAGGCTTGATGTCCTATCAACATTTTATTAAGAATTTTAGCTCTGAGGCAGCTCCTTTTAACTGAAGTTCTTACAAGGAGAAAATTCATTTGGAGACTTCCAACCCAGTCTAGTTTTTAAAAACTTAAGCAAACTGTGACAAAAGCCCAGTCCTTGCCCATCCTAATTTCAACTATATCTTTAAAGTTGATTGTGATGTCTTTAATGTAGGTATTTGTGCCAAGTTAAATCAAACTGGGCATGCAATTGCCTATTTAAACAAAAGTTAAATGAGGTCCGACATATGCACTCTACTTAAAATAAGGAATTTTACACTATCATGTGGGCTCCGAAAATTTGCAGCTCGGCTTCTCTGCAAGCCCTTTCTTTCTTTCCAGGCAATCAAGGAGAGTTTTAACAAGTAAATTCCAAGGCAAAGTTCCATAAGATAGATTGGATTTGTAGATAAGTCACGACCCAAATATTTCACCCTCATTTTGCATGAAAAATTTTATGATCTGAGTTAAAGTTTCTTATAGGCGCAAGCCCCTATAGTTCATTACTCCTCCCGATAACGAGATAAAACTTTCGATAAAGGCTAGTCTTCAAACATATACATAGTATCCGGCGTATAGTAGCAGCATGTTTAGGTATTAGAAAATTAAAATTTAAAATTTACCACCATACACTTAAAGTGGATGATGACAGGAGTGATGATGAACCTGATCAAGATCTCATGGTTCCATCGTCCCAAGTCATCATGGCCCCTAGTCTACTAATTAGTCAGAGGAGATAGTCGACCCAACCTGACAGGAGGATCCTTGTCGGTAGCCATGGGTTGCTTCGTCCAAGTGAACCTCGTAGACATGGGGTGAATATTTGTTTAAGGGGATAAATTTGAATCCACCTTAGCTAACAGAGAGACTTGTGCCCTATCAGTTATATCATATTGATTCACCACTCAAAGATTTAACATTATTGGGGAACATACGGTCTCTGAGAACAACAACAACAACAACTAACTTAGTATTATGCTTCTCTTTTAAAGGCCAACATTCGGCACCATAAAGCATTGCAGGCCTCACTACCATCTTATAGAATTTTCCCTTAAGTTTGAGGGGTACATTTCTATCACATAACAAGCCCGATGCATTCCTCCACTTCAACCATCCAACTTGGATTCTGCTGATAATATCCCCATCTATTTCACCATCACTCTGAACAATAGATCCAATATATCTAAAACGTGTACTCTTATTAATGACTTGATCGCCCAAAGTCACAATCCCCTCACTAGGTCTATTACTACTAAAATTACACTTCATATATTCTGTTTTAGATCTACTCAAGCGAAAACCTTTAGACTCTAAGGTTGACCTCCATAATTCAAGTTTACCTTCAACTCCCTCTCTAGTCTTGTCAACAAGAAGAATATCATCAGCAAAAAGCATACACCAAGGTACATCCTCTTGCAAATGTCTAGTGAGAACATCCATGACTAAAGCAAAAAGATATGGGCTTAAGGCTGATCCTTGAAGTAACCCAACCGAAATAGGGAAATACTTGGTCAATCCACCTTGTGTTTGAACATACGGTCTCTGACCATGACTGTAATATAATTGTGACATTTGGCATCAAAATAACCCAGTCAGAGGGTCCCGATCATAATCGTTTACCAGTGGTGTCATTTGGCGGCAAAACCACCGGTTAAAGAACACGTGACACGCCCTTACTAACAAGAGATGGATTGAAAATGAATCATACTGATATTATCGACCAGACATTTGCTATTTATGAGCTGAAGTGGCTTTTTAATTTTTCCACCTCTACAAACTGTTGTGGAAGGTTGATTAGTATTTTTGCCTTAAACATTTTGGTTTTTTTTTTCAATTTTAAATATTTAGATTTTGGTTTTTTTTTTTTTTTTTGAAATTTTGGATTTTTATGGGCATTTGGGATGCATTTGCTTGAATTTTTGTAGTCCTCTCGGGTTGAGATTTTCTGTCAACGCGATCATCGTCGGGGTATTTATAGACCTTTTTCATTTTGTTTGTCAAACATTGTCAACTTTTTCTACTTGCCGACAGAGAATCGGGTTCGCCAGCATTATGTCTTTGTTAGTGATATTTTTTGTTATAGACATTGAAAGCCCAATATCAATGTATAAAACAAATATCTCGTTTGTCGTGACCGCATATTTGTTTAACAGTTCGAATCGTGTCGACTTCTATTTGTTTATGTAGAAGGATTGGGCTCAAAGCTAAGTTCATTTTTTACCCGCACAGTATCCTTAGACGTGTATGCATACATCTCGCTCGTCGGAGCCCATGCAAGTGTAGGTATTTGCATGCAATTTGAATAATGTATTTGCATGATGTGTATGCATAGTGGTGGTATGTATGCAATATAATAGATATATGCATCATATTTGTGTATGTGCGCATATAATGATATTTTACATTTTGCGCACAAGCTTAATGTGGCGGCATACGATATGCATGTATAATACAGCTATGTCTTGCCTATTTGCTTGCATAATGATAATGCATGCTTGTGCAATACGTCAGCATGTAAATGTTATACATAATTGTAGCATATTGCACGTTGTGATACCGAGTGACTTGTTTGCATGAATTATTATGCCTATTGCAATGCATGTACAGGGAGCATTTTAAAATATTTGGGACTAATTAATTGTGCGGACAGCTATCGTTTGAATGTTTGCAACATTCTATTTAGAAGCTTGTAGACGGCTTTAGTCCATTTGTAGGAGTGCTGCATATCAGGTGGCGTTATGCTACACTTCATTAATTGCGCACCGGCAATGCAGTTTAGTTCATTTCGTCTTATGCAAGCTGTTGTTTTCTTCAGTACTTAGTTTGCAGGAGTGTACTTATATTTACAAATGAGCTACACATGGCATCAGAAACCTTCCACATGTTGCTTGCAAGTGAGCTGATTTAGCTAATATGACATCCTAGCTTCACGAGCAAGCTATTGTGCATTGCAAGCTTTGTTGGATTTTTTCTTTAGTCATTAGCGGGCATTCAATAGTCGCCAGCTTAACTTGTAGGAATTTGCGTTTACTACAGTTCTTCTATATTTTCTTATAGATAGCAGATTGTATACATGACGGGTCTTCTACAGTGGCTCGTAGGTGCCAGTATTCATTACAGGTTTGATGTGCTTGCTTGTAGATAGCTTGTTGTGTATGTGACAAATTTTCTACAACGGCTCGTAGGTATGTGCATTTGTTACGAGCTCCTGATTTTCTTTAGTGGATAGCACGTTACGTTCATAACTGTGTCCTGCATAAGTCTATAAAACTTGATTTACTACATGCAATTTAGACATCAAAAGCAGCGCAGACCAAAAATCGCTTCGACAAACCAAAACCAAAACATCAAATGTCCTGCATAAGTCTATAAAACTTCAATATGCAATGAATGAAAATAAAAACCTATAGAACACTAATGTATCAATGACAAAAATACTAGCCAAAGATCAGAAATATTTTTACAAATTCACCCAATTAATTACCATGAACGCCTGTCCTAAGTCCTTTTATCAAAACATGTCTTGTTATTTCGAGTAATGCAAAATATCAAGCATGGACTGCTTAGCTTTCTATAATTGACACTTACGGCAGCTGCATGCTTATTGCATTAGTAATAAACTAAGTTAACCCAATTAATTCCTTTATTTGGCGAGAAATTTCTAACTATCGAACCAAACTATGGGAAAACACTAAGTATCTGATATCATTATAACAATGTTTTATGCATCTGATAACATTATGATTGATTTTATCGTAAGTGTCATGACAGCAGCAATTTGTACATAACTCTACAACTTAAAGCACGTGATAAACAAAATGCAAAAAAAAAAATATCATTGAGAAGATGAGAGGAAGTAGGGATGTAAGTGAGCCGAGCCGGCTCGACTAAACGAGCCAGGCTTGATAAGGCAAATACTCGACTCAACTCGACTCGTTTACACCCCTAAGAGGAAGCAAACAAATAAAAGATGAAGATTTTAATCTAAATTTCCCAATTTTAATATATATATATATATGAGGCATAGAAATAAGATCAAGTATGGAAGTACTGTATGTTTTGGTATCTTAAGTCTTTATATGAAAAAGAAGAAATATAAATAATATGAGAGGTGAGATTAAATTTGAAAGTCCAAACAGAGCAGCCTCTAAAGTGAATTGTGGAAAGAAACTTTCATAGAAGCTTATGCCAAACTTTTTGATAAGGCCATCAATCTTTATAGAAGTTAATAATAAACAGTGAAATGAAAATAACAAAATTTACAAAAATATAAGAAGATGGATCTGTTACAAAAGTAAGGATAACAAGGTGAAAGCGGCTTAACGTCTAATGGGAACCAAGAAATGAAAAATAGGTTGACATGGTTCGCACGGCAACAACCAAAGTAGAAAAGTCAGTGTCTGAAATTAGTGTGAGAGAACTGGTAAGTAAAATAGGAAGCCAAAGTCGTTATTCAAAAAAAAAAGTTAAATTATGACTTGCAATAAAACATATATAAATTAACGTAATGGCTTCAGGTAAATGTAAAATATTTGTTGCAAGATGAAGGGTTGATACAACACTTTTCTTTACATTTCAGAAAAAAATCTCACATATGCAGCACTTACTTCTTTCTCTAGAGCCAAACGACGTTCTGGCAAATCTTCCTTTCGCCTGTCCAAACTTGCTTGCAAAACTGCATTCCCTTTTATCTGATTAACATAAACACGATAGTAAAACATCACTACTGAAAAATGCAAATGCTTGGAAATAAAACACATGAATACAACAAGAAGTAACCACCTCTTCTGAAATTTTAGTTAGAAGATCTATCTGGGCATTCTCAAGCCTCTGAATAGCAGACCTTGTAGTAATTGAGGGGAGGAGGAGCCAAGGCAAGACCAAAAATTACAATAAAGTTAGTAATTGCAAAAACATTTCTGTTTGTCATTAATCAAGCAAGTTTCATGAAATTACAAAAACAACTGTGCACCATAGTTTCTGAAAGGTCCAGTCATGTATACCAATGTTTCATATAGTCTAGAAAACGATCAAAGAACTTCTAGAATGATGTAAAATAGCCCAACCTTTTAGGATAATATCAAAAAGCTAAACTTTCATAAAACTGTACCGTATATACACAAACACTTAAGCTAAACAAGTTCGAAGCTTCTTTTAGCATAGCATATTATAAAATGAAACCAGATAAAAAAAGAAAGGAAATGAGGAAATGCACACAGGAGAGGTAAATGTCTTACTCATCATCACTGATGTCTTCAATTGAGTCCACTGAAAGGTTTTTCCTTGCCTGGAAGCCAAAATAATGAGTTTTAAATCAACATAGTAACAATAAAGCAATGATATGGCCATACTCACAGAGGTACGCCCCAATTTATTTCGCATAGCAGGTTTTGCTTCCTTTGATTGTTCTGCAAATTTTATTATGCTGGGGGCAGAAGGTTTGAGATTAACTAAATTATTCGTTACAATTGTAGACAAAAAACCGACAGTGGGCTCATGAGACTCTTGATAAAGTGGTATGGTTGAGTTAGTATTTTCAATTGGCAAGTCATCATCATGCTGTATGTCAGCATTGCCAAAGGATGGAATATATGCTGACGATTGGTCATGGGCAGATGCAGATGTTTTGAGGTAAATATCATCATGGAGAAATGCGGAGACTTTTTTTGAACTTATCGCAGTGTTTTCAACAACCTCCAAATTTCTAGCAGCTATAGAATGAGCACTAATGTCTTTAATGTCCTGCATAACAAATGCATTCATCTTAGCATCAAACTGCATGATAACTGGAGAAGTAGTTGGAAATATCTTTAAGCTGAGTTAGAAAAATCATAATTAATTAACAACATATAAAACAAAGAGATAATTAAGAAAATCATTCCAATTCTTCAAGGCACGACGGTAAAACCATATGCCTAGATTATTTTATTCCCCCTAGATGAGGTTTCACTAAGCACTTGCAGCCGCTATATAAAATAAGCACTGCACTTCAGACTTCTATGTCATAAATAGCACCTGCCTACTTAACAAAAATTTACAAGAAATTAAACCAAGATAATTTAGAAAAAAGTTCTGCAGAATTCAAGCTAAAAAATGTATTAAAATAATTAATAGTTTATAGTAGTCAGAGTGGTCAGAGTCTAAACATGTAAATGCTGAGTCCCTCTGGCTCGAACAACATGTTCCCAAAACCAAAAACAATGGGATAAATTCCTAACAGTTTGGATTACCACAATACAACGTACAACCAAATTAGCTTTGGCTTCAAGGCAAACTTAATCAAGCAACTACAACTAAAAAGGCAAGAAATCAAATTCCTCTTCAAATCATAAATGTAAGAACCAAAAGGAATGAAATCAGAAAAGAATACAAATGCAATGAAAAGAAAGAGAAGACTAGTGACCAAGTTCATTCTTAAGCTAAAAGATTAGTTAAGGGCCATTCGTGCAATTAGATAGATTTGAGATGCTATATAAACAACTAAATAAATAAGCTTCATTTAAACTATAGCCTTTCTTAATCATATTTTATTATATAACCTGGTCTCTTGACAAATTACTCCCCATATCACTGCCTGCATCACTCCTGACAACACTAACACCATTGCTGTCAACATCACAATGAGCATCGCTTCTTACATTACTGCCAACATCATTGCCTATGTGACTGCCAACATTACCGCCAACTTCGCTGTCAACATCACTACCCAAATCACTATCATCTTCACTACCAACATCATTGTCACTTCCACTGGAGGTTTCACTATAAGAATGATCCATATTACCCTCTGCATCTGGTTTTTTGTCATTCTCTGCATCACGATATCCATCCACTTGGGAGATATCATTATCAGTTGATTCATCATCCTCAATATCATCATCTTCTGACTCAGTGTAAAGCTCTGAAGAAAAAGAGTTATCCTGAAGGTAGTGTCATAGACATATGACGATTAGCTCCTTGAAAATAAAATGTTCAACATGTAAAATTATCTTTGTATGGGCAGCAATCTAACGGCAACAAGACAAGTTTGACAGAAATTTACATCAAATATATTTTTGTACTCCTCCAGAAGAATTAGCACTATAGCTTGAGCATGGTTTGCAGCTGCAGCAGCTTGCAAAAGTTGAAAAGATTCATCACTATCCATTTGAAAACTATTACTGAGTTCACATTCACCAGCCAGAAGTGGGCGAAGAAGTAAAGGTGCCATACAAGCAGCCAAAGCAGAGAGGCTCATCCTGTTCTCAGCTTTGTGAGCAGCCACAGTTAGTATCATCTGGAGAGTCCTGAACAAAATGGTGTTAACGCAGAATCCAACACATTTGTATGGGGAAATAAGTTTATGTAAAAACCGAAAAATGTTAGTTGTAAGAGTTGCACCCATTTCGATGCACCACAACGAAATTTGGCAAATTTTCAAAATCACGGATCTCGGCGAAAATAATTTTATAAAATTCTATATAAAATTCCGAGCAAATCGGTATAAAAGACTTACAGAAAATTTCCCAGTTAAAAATCGTAAAAGTTTTCTAAAATTTAAAATTACTAAATAGCCCATCATTGTCTTAAGGGAATTAAAGCATGCAAGGGCAATTGAGTCATTTGGAATCTTCCCCAAACATCCAAAGCATTAAGGGACCGAACCCATTCGGTCCCTTCGCATTCGCACGACTGTTTCGTTTAGCCGAAAAAGGAGACGGAGATAGAGGCAGATGGGAAGCGACGGCTAGGCTACGGGTGGCGATTTCAGGTGGCCAAACTTGAGGGAAATCGTAGAAGGAGATTCAAGGGAGACTAAGATAAGTTTTTAAACAAGAAATTTCTCCTTTTCATATAAATTTCTTTAGGAGAAATTTTTAGGGTTTAATGAAAACTACAAATTTCTTTAGGAGATTGATATGGGAGGTTTAGGAAAGGATTTTAACCATGAAATCACAAGTTTCTCCAAAATTTTTTAGTTTGGAGAAATTAGGATTTTTCGTATTCTTGAATTTTTAAGAAAATCCCTTCATGATTATTGTTTCAAATCATCTTAGGGGAGTTTTTAATGGTACAAATTTGGGTTTTTCCCAAAAATTATATTTTCGTAATTTTTGAATTAAAATAATACGAAAATAGGAAACCCTAATTATTAAATAGCTAATGGGGAAGTTTTGGCAAGCAATTGTATTGGAAAGAGCCACTAAACTTAACACTTTCATTTTACTATTATCATAAACAAGATAATCATCTATTTTAACCAGGCCGGGCTGGGTCATGATAATTTTTTTAAGAAAGGATTTAAAATTACGAGAAAAATGTCCAAAGAGCACTGGCTTTTTTATGGATATTCATGGGATAGATCTGATATTAGAATGCCATGAAAATTTGTGATCACTTAACAGCTCCATCAGATAATAATTAGTTCATTTTTCAAAAAGGATATTCTTTTTTTTCTTTTTTTCTTTTTTATTTTCAAAACAATCAGCAATATCAAATTTCAAGGTTAGTTTAAAATACGAAATAAAAAAATGAACATTCCATTTAAAATAAGATCAGACATTATTTCAACACAGCTTGCAGCCACAAATAAAGCAACATCAAAGAGAAACACATAATACACTACTAAGACTTAAAACTCTTAACACAAATCAAAAGAAATTGCGAGATGATTTAGTTGTGCTTCACAAACTGCTTGAGCACTTGGGAAGCATACATTTCAGAAGGCTTTTCCCAACTCTAGCAACTCCGAGAAAAGAGAAATAAAAGTATTATGATCAAACTTGAAAGCACAATCCTATATTAAAATGAATAATATCTATTTGTTGATATTTACTTGAAATTTCAACGTACAAGATTCAAAAAAACCATCATGATGGCGTATAAGCAGTGGAGATAACAGCATTTTTGCTATAACTGTCAAGGTTGTAAAAATCGGACTAAACAATGAACCGGAAAGAGAGGTTCACGATTCCATGGTTCAATCGGGGTCGAACCGGAGTTGAACCGGATGATGTAATAAATATCAAAATTATTTAAATATCATCTAAATTGCATAATTATGACATAATAATTATGAAATAATGCAAATTTGAGGCTACAAACAAATAATATTCAAACATATATAATATATCCTATAATTTTAAATTTAAACATATTTTATCTTTATTTTTAATTCATCTTTATTATAAAATTACTTTACTTATAAGTTTATAAATTTTATATGAATAATTTTTTTATTTATATTATAGGTTTAGAAACAATTTATAACTATAAATTATATACAAAAATTACATTATAAAATTTCATCTATAAATTAATGTTATATCATTTATTATTCAAAATTAATAAAAATTTATTTTTATATTATATAATTAATTAATTAGATAAATACTTAAATATTATCAACTAAAAACTAAATATTATTCACATTATAAAAATTTAATTAATAAATATGTGCAAAAATATATAGTACATATATAGTTAACATGAGAACTTCATCTTTGTTTTTTAGTCCTACATCACTTAGGCTCTTTTCTTCTTTTTTTTTAACTTAGGCCCTATATAAGTGTTGTGTATATTGTTTTTTGGGTTCACATAAGTCACATGGAGTGATGGAGTCAGGTGACAAAACATAGTTAGTGCTTATTTAATAAAAAAAGTTATAAATTTAATATGTATTTTAAAATAACAATTTAAATTAATTTATTAACTTAAGTACATTATATTAAATTAATTAATTTAATTATATACTAACTTATTTTAAAAATTAATTACTTCATATAAAATAAGCTAACTTATTTTGGAAAACTGGCGCCGGTTCGCCGGCTAACCGGTCAAACTAGCGGTTAGAACCAGTTTTGACCGGTTCATTGTGAAACTGATTTTGGGAATAAACCGAACCGGCTGATAGACCGGTTCAAAATTCAACCGGTTAAACCAGCCAGTCCAGTTTTTAAAACATTGACATTTGTGGTAAATATATAGGTTCTGTCCCAACTACACAAAGTACTTCAATAAGCAATGGGATAATGAACTTCATAAAATCCAAAAGCTAAAAATAAGGACAACAAAAAAGAATCAGTATTTGAATACTGATAAACCCAAGTCAGATCAAGGCCACTGACAAGTTGTTTCTGTCTATTTCGTACAAGTGAATACCAAAACACAATGAAGTAATCGTTAAAATTTACAGTTTACCTTTGTAGCAAACGACGGTTAGGCTCAGGGAAGGTCCCATATATTGCATCACGCATGTTCTTGACTCTGGATCCACGATAGGTTCCTAACATAAAATATTCAAGTAAAACCTCATATGAACGAACTGAGAATCCTATCTGCAGTAGCATAAAAAGACTTTATACATTATATCACTCCTATGGTTCTACAAGCATTTGTACAGAAAATCTAATACCAAACCTCGATAAAAGTGTGAATTTTTTTTGAATTAATTAAAAAGGTGAGAATTAAAAATATAATTTATTAGGCACTGGTGCAAAGAATTTAAATAAGTGCAATGCAAAAGTGGTTATATACAAAATAAAGATAAAACTAACTGGAATACTACAACAACATCATCATCAAGCCTTTATCCCAGTACGGGATCAGCTACGTGAATCCTTTTCCTCCATTGTGTCCTGTTAAGAGTCAAATTCTAATTTAAATCTAATAAAAAATGTCATTTCTAATATTTTTTTAACCATGTCTTTTTAAATCTATCTCTATCTCTCTTAACATAGGCCAAATCTAATACACCTACTCTCGTAACCAGATCATCGAAGGCCACTGTTTTATGTGACCAAACCATCTAAGGCGGCTCTCTCCAATCTTATCTTCCATTGGAGCTACTCCAACCTTTTAACGTATATGCTCGTTTTGTATCATATCCTAAGTGTAAAGCCACTCATCCACCTAAGCATCCTAGTCTCTGCAACAGTTGCTTCTCTTTTAAAGGCCAACATTCTGCACCATAAAGCATTTCAAGCCTCACCACCATCTTATAGAAATTTCCCTTAAGTTTGAGGGGGACTATTCTATCACACAAGTCTATTGCATTCCTCCACTTCAACCATCCAACTTGAATTATACTAATAATATCCCAATCTATTTCACCATCACTCTAAACAATAGATCCAAGATATCTAAAAAGTTTAATCTTATTAATGGCTTGATTGCCCAAAATCACAATCCCCCCCATTAGATCTATTATTACTAAAATTAGACTTCATGTATTTAATTTTAAATCTACTCATATGAAAACAATTAGACTCAAAGGTTGACCTCCATAATACAATTTTACCTTCAACTCCCTCTCTAGTCTTATCAACAAGAAGAATATCATCAATAAAAATCATACACCAAGGTACATCCTCCTATGAATGCCTAGTAAGAACATCCTTGACCAAAGCAAAAAGAAATGGGCTTAAAGCCGATCCATGATGTAATCCAACTGAAATAGAAAAATATTTGGTCCAACCTCCTTGTGTTTGAACACAAGTAACAGATTGAGTATAAGCATTATTAACCTCTTTCTTTTCTAAAACTCTCTATAGCACTTCTCTTGAAACTTTATCATAGACTTTCTCTAAATCAATAAATGTCATATGTATATCCTCCTTATTCTCCTTATACTTCTCCATTAAACCTCTCAATAAATGTCCAACTTCCATAGTAGACCTACCCTGCATGAATCCAAATTGCTTTTGAGAAACATTAGTATCACGTCATAACTTATGCTCAATAACTCTCTCCCAAAGTTTTAAAGTAAGACACATTAACTTAATTCCTCTATAATTCGTACACTATTATGCATAGCCTTTATTCTTAAAAATATGAATCAACACACTCCTCCACTCATCTGGCATCTTTTTAGTCCTCAAAATTATATTAAAAAGTTTAGTAAGCCAAAAAGTTCCTTCATCGCCTAAGCATTTCCACCAATGATATAAAATGCGTCAAAAGCCTATAATAAATTACATAACATTTCTAAGAAATTAATAAGCAATAACAAAAATGATAATGAAATTGGTGCGAGCAATTGATAAGTAGAGTGCACTTTATAATTTATAAATTGGCATATACATTTCATGCTCTTATAGATAATTATGCTTAATCTTACGTCTTTTATTTATTTAAATGTCAAAGCAATTTTTTTTAAACTTTATTAATGCACTACTTAACTACATCAATTATCAGCAATGCTCATATTAGTTCAAAAGACCAGTAAGTAAATTATTACTTATTTCTTGTCTGTTTGCACTTTCTATAAGAATTGTTTATCCCCCAGAGCGTTTTGCGCATTAGATATTATGATGACTATTTTTTTGGAAAGAGAAAGAAACTAGTGGAACTATTGGCAATCGAGCCAACTTAAACATGTACCATAGTATTATGGATGGATGTACAGTTTTAAGAAGTAATCTAAAAATATATATATGTAAATTAAAAACTTCTAAAATATATAAATTTTCTATGAAAGTATTAGAAGGTTTGTAATCTATTTTACTGATTTAAATTATGCACGCTTCCATATCAATGAGTATGATGAATGTACTGAAGGACGAGATATATTTTGGGAATTAGTCAGATAAATTTTCTACTCAATACTGAGTTGAAAGAGAAGTCAGGATAAGTGTGAGTAGGAAATGCCTCAACCTCGATTGCCTGCCTCTATTGCATCTCATCGTTGACCGGAGAGGGTCAAAATGGAGCTTGACAAATGAACATGTGGGCTCCGAAAATTCGTCCCCGGCCTCCGCGCCGCTGCGCTTTTCCTTTTTTTTTTCGACGAGGGAGTTTTAGCTGAATATGTTCCGAGGTAAATTTTGGAAGGCAGATGGGTTTGTAGATAAGACACTATCCAGAGATTTTGCCCTCATTTTGCGAGGACTTTATATCTGAGTTCTGGTTTCCTATAGGCGCAAGCCCCTATAGTTAATTACCCCTCCCGATCACGAGAGAGAACTTTCGATTAAGGCTAGTCGTCAATCAGATACGTATAAAATACGTGTATCTGGCATATAGTAGCAGCATAGGTTTAGGTATTTGAAATGTTTGGAAGTTTAGGAATTTAAAGGTTTATATGTTTGGAATTTGGGTTGAGAGATTTGAGAAAATTGACATTTAAAATTGGAATTTTCACCATCTGGAACTTAAAGCAGATGGTGAGGGAACTGGAATTTTCACCATTTGGAATTTGGTTTCCACCTTAGCTAACAGAGCGCTTTGTGCCCTATCGATCATATCCTATTGATTCATATCTCAAGGATTTAACGCCATTAAGGAGCGTATTGGCTCTGGCCATAACCGCTATCTGTGGTGCCATTTGGCGGCAAAATCACTCGGTTCAGAGGGCCCCGGGTCATAACCGTTTACCTGCAGTGCCATTTGGCGGCGAAACTGCCGGTTAGAGGACATGTACCACGTCCTTACTGGCAAGAGATTGTTTGAGAATGGATACTAGTGATATTTTCGATTAGGCATTTAGCTCTTTTGTGAGCTAGAGTTTATTTGAATTTGTCCACCCCGGCAGACTGTTGCGGAGGGCGGGTGGATTTTGCTTTAAGTGTTTAATGGTTAGATTTCCATCTTTAAATATTTTTGGAATTCTCTAGATTCTGGATGATTTTTGGAATTTTGGGGTTTTTGGATTTGGACTTTGTAGAGTTTAGATTTTCTGGCATTTGAATGGAATTTGAAAGGATTTGAATCACCCCTCCGGTTGAGATAACCAATCAATACGGCCATCATCGGGGTGTTAGGGGGTTATTTCCATTTAAAGCTTGAACCTTGTCGACTCTGTCTGGTTGTCGACAGAGGATTGTGTTTCGTAGGCTTTATGCCTTTGAGAGTGAATTCTTTTGATTTTAGGCTTTGAATGCCTAATATGAAGGTATTAAAACAAATATTCTGGTCGCCACGGCCACATATTTGCTTAATGGTTCGAACTTTGTAGACTCCTATGATCAGTATAAAATGATCGGGTTCGAATTTGAATTCACTTGTTGACCCACGCAGCATCCCTAGACGTCAGTGAGTACCAATAATACGCTCGCCGGGGCCCATGAGGGTTTGGGGGCATTCTATAATAATATAATTAAACCATGTCGACTCTTTTTATCTTTTTAGAAGGATCGGGTTCAAGTTTAATAACATGCGCAGCATCCCTAGACGTCACGTGTGTACCAATAACACGCTCGCCGGGGCCCATGCGGGTCGATAATTTCATTGATTTGGACATACCCCATTGTGTACCTATGTGTATACAAACTATAGTGCAGGTGCATGGGTACTTTAAAATATTTGTAGTTGTGGATGCCTTCTGTCTGCTTGTATGAGTGTTCCAGATCCGGTGGCGCTGAGTCTTAATGTTAGAAGGCATTTGATGTTGACTCCCCTTTTCTCATTCACCGGGGAGGGACTTCTGGACTTTGAAGTTTGTTGTTTTGAAGAGAACTCCTTTTCGGGTCTTTAGTATAGTGGACTTATTACTTCTGATATTTGTGGGTGGCGGGATTATTTTCTTTTCAAGTATAAGATCAAAGAGAGACCTCGGAACATCTCTTTCTTTCTGTGAGGGGGTGTTCTTCTTTTTTTTTTGTACACCGGGTTGCCCTTACACCCGAAATGCTAGTGGATCTTGATCACCGTTGTCGTAGGCTATATCTATGCTTGTGCCCACAGTGGTTCGTTGTGCTTACGATATACACATTGTTGTTATCCACAAGTGATTTGTAGTCATTTGCAGGGGACCGCTGCATTTACTACGACCTCCTGAAGGTATTTGTAGAAGACCCTTGTCTTTGCATCATATCCACCTTTCATCAATCTCAGGTGGTTTGTTGATTGCACTTGCTTACAGGAACGGGTCGTAAACATTAACAATGTCATCTACAAGGCGTCGATGTATTCAATGACTCATCTTGATGTGACTTGTTGTATACTAGACAAGTTTCTCCTATTAATTTCAAGTGCCTCCATTTCAATCTACGTTGCTTGCATAACATGTCTTTGATTGTAACATGTAGATGATAATTGTGCATTTCGTAGTTTGACTGATATCATTAACAAGTCATTTATGTTTGAAGACTTCTTGCCACTAGTCCTTTGCATGCATCAAATGCTTATGTTCATTTGAGAATTTAGGATTTCCACATCTTTAAGAGCATGAAGACCCAATTCCTTGCAGTCCGTATTGAGTTCAAGTGCTTGTTCAATATCTTCCGAAGCTCTTTTGAATTCAATTTTGTATTCAAATGATTTCAATTTGGTCCAATTTCGAGTTCATTTCATTTGAATTTGATCTTTATTAATCATTTAGGTTTTGTTCAGATCCTCTGCTCGTATTCGAAAAAGTCCACAAGTCATTGTTCATTGGAGTCCAGATCTTTGTTCTTTTGAGTTCAAACAGGTCCGAGTGTAGTAGTTTTTCACCCGAAATTTCTTGCAAGTGTCGTCGGGGTTGGCACACGGATCGAGGAGTCACTCGCCTACCTCGTCGTAGGCGTCGCATCGGGTTCCCTCCCACCACGCTAGAGAAAAGCGTGCATGGGTGGTTTGCCGACCCGACGCGTACGTCGAGGAAAGAGAGTGGAGGGGATTATTTACAAGCATTTATTCATTATAATTTATATTAATTATGTTAATAATTAAATAATTATTATTAATAATTAATCACTAATTATTAATTAATTATAATTAATAAGTTAATTATAATTATAATTAATCAAAATTAATTATAACTAATTAAATAATTATAAATATAATTAATTTACTATTAGATAATTAATTATTATTATAATTAGGTAATTATTAAACATAATTAATAAAATTTATAACAAATAAATAATATAAATAATATTTATATATATTAAAAAAGATTTCCTCACCCTCACTCTCTGGTTCGGCCGAAGAAGCGCGGGTAAGGGAGAAAGTTACGATCACAGCAAGCGCGCTCCTGTGCTTGCTTCGATCAAAATGATCGTGACTTCCGATCCTGTAGGAAGAGCACGTCGTCGATGGAGGTAGAGACGAGCTCGGGTCTAGGGCTTCAAGAGGTCGGCTACGGCAATGGGAGATCGGAGGCGGTAGAGGGAGGAGTTCTGGCGTCGGTGGGATTGGAGGAATCGGGACTGGTAAGAACCGAGCCTCTCTCTCTCTCTCGGGCTGAAGAAGCAAGGGAGGGGCGACGGGATGCGATGGAATGGAAGCACTGAGTGTCGTGGAGAGGAGGGAAGAGTGAATGGAATGGTCGTGGAAGCAGAGAGCTCGTCTCCCTCTTATAGACGCAAATGGGAGGCGATCGAAGCCGTCTTCGTAGGATTCGCGGAGAAGCGACGCGAACGGCGCCGAACAAGTACGAGGTTACGGGATTTCTGTTTGAGTTCAGCGGGATTTCAGCGGAAAATCGGGATGGGCTTCGGCTGTTACAGCTAATGATTTTAGGCCTTTTTTTTTATTTCTCTATTTTCGTTTCAATGGCAGAGGTCAACAGAACAGCAAATAATATTTGGAAAAGTCAACTTCGCCCTATGTTCCCTTTGTTTATAAACATGCTATGGATATCCATGTTATTCACAAGTTCATGTTGAGTGCTTCAAACTAAGTGATTGCAGTTCACATTCTATCCTTTCGTTCTCTTTTTTATTCACTATTCAAAGCATCAAGAAGGAATAGATAAAGCATCTCACTAAGACAAAATATAAGAAAACGTTTACTTCCATGGTCAACGTACTATATGCATCAACCAGAGTCATACAGCATGATACTGGAACAGGGGATGATGGCATTTCCCGGAGCACATGCTGCAAGTAAAATTCAAAAATGTGTTTTGGTATAGTTCAATTCAATTTATTGAATAAAGAATAACGAAATTATCAAAAAAAATAAGGAATTACCTTAATGCAATCACCAATAACATGAGCATCTTCATCAGGACCAAACTCAGTTTTTCCTGAAATTGGAAAAATACAATTCAAGAATCTAGCAGGTGACAGACATTAACCGGCACAAAAAAACAGCCTTAGAAAACTAAACAAAGTGACTATGGAAATGCACAACAATGTCACTAGCACAGAAAGAACAATTCTCTTAAGAAAGGTACAGGAAACAAAAAAAGAAAATGCCAACTAACCTTGCTCATATTCCTGAACCCTGTGCATTACCTCTTCAACATCAGCAGATTGCCGTAAGATGCCTTCAACTTTAATTCCTGCTTAGGAAATATCGTAAGCCATCAGAGAAAGATCACAATTGTCTCTCCCCATATATGTATGCCGGTTTACGTTAGCTTAAATAGTGCAACTCGAGGTTTTAACTCTATTTTAGACAAATATTTATACAAATTTCAAGATGGATTACCTTTTGTATATGAATTTTTTATCTTCACAATATTTTTAATTCCATCTATTTGTCTTGCTAGCTCATCTTTTATTTTTTGCTGTTAATAATATGGCCTAAATGACCTAGCTCTTCTTCAATTATCTAATCTATTATATATTATATGTTCTACTTCCATTACCTCTCTAATTTAATCATTTAATGTTTTATCTTTCATAGTTTTACCACTTCTACCATAGCGTTCTTACTTAGCACTATTAACTTGACTATCAACCACTTGTTTCTGGCCTAACACTCTGATCGATATAGAATATTTTGTTTAAATATAGTGTTATGAAAAATTGCCTTTAGAGATCTATAAGATATTATCTTACACATTTGTAGCTTATCAGTAGGTTAGCACGCCAAAGAACTCATTCATATCAATTGTCTTATTTTACTAATTTCTAACAAAATTTACAAGCTACAGTAAGGAACTTCTCCAGTTCTCTAATTATAGCTTAAATATTCTATTGATTGTGGAAAGTACAGAGGCTTTAGCCTTTTTTTTTTTTCTTCATAACGTGGTATGAATAATTTTTAACTCCCATAATTAGCGCCTATATAGCAAACAATTAATTAAACGACATCAACTTTAAGGGTTCTTAAGTACCTACTACAAGTAGTGAATGAGTAACGTGAAATGTTGTTGCAACTCAAGTATCCACCTCATTCAATAGAAACAAATTCAAAATTTTTTTGATGGTTCAGCAAGACCAAAGCTACACATATCATAAGTAAAAGGTATATAATACGGATTTTTTCTTGTCTTTGATTGCCTAAGCAACAGTATGTGATTTTTTTTTATTCAAGAGAGGGAGTTCTAATAATCCAGATTAAAATAAAATAAAAAATAACAATAAGAAATAACTTGCCATGTTCCTCAATGAACCTAAGGGCCTTCTCCAAGAAAGAAGGAGAGCCATCAATCTCTTGTAGAGCAAGTAAAACTGGCCTCCCAATGATTGAAGATGTAGTAGGAGGCTTATCCTTGCCTGCAAAAGAAGATATTATAAATCATGTCATACCATCAAACAGCTTATAAATGAAGATAAAAACTGATAGGCGTCCCACTAGTTTCGCCAATACTTCCAAACACAATAATGCCAAAAAATTAACTACAAAACTAAATCAAACCTGAAATAACTGAATTCATACGAAAAAAAGAATTTTTGCAGAAAAGTAACATGATGAAACATATAGCATAAAGACAACAAGTTATACTACACATGAAATACACAGATGTAAGCCTCATAGCAGACAAACAGAGAGAGAAGGCAGAGATTGTGATGAGGACATCGAAGATCAACGGCTACGATCTTGAGTTATTTATTTATATGTACTAGTTTATTTCATATTATTATTTTTTCCTTTATTATACCCTTATGGGTGGTCATGTAGTATTGTAGTCCAAAGGGCATTTTAGTCTTTTATTTCTTTTCTTTTCATGAGGCCTATTTATAGGCTAGTTGTTTTGTATTTTGGGATGATGATTATTGATAATGAAAAGTTTTATGTTCTTGTTGATCTCTTAGTGAGTTCACGTGATCTCTCAGTGAGTTCATGAGAGGAGAAGCCCGAGGAGGGTAATTCGCAATACCCGTCAATCTTTGGAAGAGTCCGAGGTTCGTGGTTCTTACGATCTCTGTGTGAGTTTGTTAGTTATCTCTATCTTTCTCGTATATTTTGGTTATCTCCTTTCTCCCCTCTTCATGCACATTCTTCTTCTCCTCCATTGACTACCGCGAGCCAAGTCAAGAGTGGAAGAAGCCGAAACCTCCACTAGCATCTCCACCCTAGCTCCACCGCCGCACTTGCCGCCGCCCTCTCCACTCGCGCAATTTTCCCCCACGTCTCCCCCCTAGCCTTCTTCTGGAATTTGAAATTTAAAAATTCAATTCTTTCCAAATTGGGAAGTTCCATTATGGAAATTTTTTTTTGAATGAATTCAAATTATAAGTTAAATTAATTGGACTTATTTAGAATTTTCCTAGTCATCATTCATGTTTGGAAATCCCTCTCCCTCCTCCAATTTTGAATTTCCCTCATTAATGACTTTCCTAATTAAGCCAAATTAAATTAGGGAATTAATTAAGGGGAGTTACAATCTTTTGAAATTCAAATTTCCTCCTAAATTTTTTAAATTAGGGAGTTACATGAGGCAATTAAAATTGAAATAAAAATTCATATTTGATTAATTACTAGTGGCCCCACCTACTTAAATCTCAAGCCTCTCTCTCCTATCCAATTAATGCCCCATTAAACCACCAATCAAATCATTAATGCTCACATAACCCAGCCGGCCCTTCTCTTTTCACTCCAAATTGTTTGGACATATTTGGCATGTCCATAAGTAAGGAATTTATTCCAATTCTTCTCACTGCTGGCACAGATTTTCCCATAATATTCCTCTAGTTTCCTTGCATCTAGAGAGCCGAAATCATGAATTTCTTGTCCAAGTTGCTGCCCAGATCTGGACAGATCTTGTGTCCGTCCAGAAATTTCCATTGCAAACAGCTGTCCAGATTTCGTATATTTGCTGTCTGGAAATATAGCTGGTCAACCTTGCTGTCCTGCATTCCCAAGTGACCTTTCTTGCTACCCAGAGTTCCGTCAATCAACAAATTGCTGTCCAGAAAACCCAAACGTCCACAGCAGCTGTCCAAGGTTTCCCTAAGCCTTGTAGGTGGCTGTCCTGGACTGTTCTGAGAGCTTGAAGTTGCTGTCCAGGGAAAATCTGCACCTGTATCTTGCTGTCCAGTCAATTGGAAGGTCTTCAAACGTTGTCCGGACGTTTCAAATTGTTGACCACACTTTCAAGAAGGTTCATGAATGCCACCTACTTCCTTCCAAGCCTCCCTACAGCCTCCGGAACTTCGTATCTTCCGATTATTTGGGTAAACTCTCCTCCAAATCTTTAATCTCTTAGTCGCTACTCAATTGAGGTTTATAAGTGATTCATGAAGGTTCATGCCATTTTCTCCGCTAAAACCTAGTAATTGAATGAGTTGTGTGAGGGATCTTCTCATAGCAACTAATCTTATTGTTAGTCTAGGGATATTTGTGGAAAACCATTCATGTACGCAACATTAGATTGTCTTGATTGTTATATGATCTTAACTCTTACCCGTGTGATTCAACCGTAAGCTCGTTTTTCCGCCCTTAATGTTTTATCTCGTCGTTCAAATTATTATAAATATATAATTATTTGTTCTATCTAAAATTAAGCGTGCAAACTTTCATTATGAAATCCATCATCGCATGTACGTTTCACATCAGATTGTGATCTCCATCAAATTTCATAAACAAGTTGAATCAGTATTCCTCAAGGATCCGCATTTGTACCGAACCTTTCCTTACAAATACATGAATCTAATGTATTAAATAAGATATTTCCCTACTTTCCACATATATCAACCACTTCTATTCAAAACTCAAACAAGTCATATAAAATTTAGGGAATTTAAATGAGACACTTCTTATCCTCTCCAAACTAACATAATTGGGGTAAGCACATTGTAAAGCAAACAAGGAAGGGTTTCTCATTCATAAAATTCTAATCAAGCAAAAATCCAAGGTTTATGAATGAACTTATTAAATCTTCTTTAGGGAACTTTCCGTAGAAACTCTTTGTTGACTGCACATCGAAAACTTGGGCAATAGACGTTCACGTGCAGCATATCAGGCACAATTCAAGACCAGCCAAATCTCTTTAAAAGTCATTCAAAACATCCTCCTTATGAAAAACCTTCTTTAATACGCACAAAATGTTCCTATTATAAAATTCAAAGCGTTGAAAAAAAAAAGAGTGAATAATTTATACAAATTAAAATGAATTAAACTTTTGAAAAAAGCTGAAATAATATAAAACTAGGAATGCATTGCAGCACTATAATAATCCTGTTCGCGTAAGGAATTACATAGATCAACTGAAGCTTCAATTGAGTCAGCTACTTCATTAAGAAATATTCCACTGGGCCCCATTACTTGGTTTGCACTAGGTGCTTGCGCCAAAGCACCTTCTAATACAGCTTTCCACTCATTTAGTTCTTCTAAGGTTTCTGTCTGTTCAACAATCAAAATTTTAAGGTAAAAATGACAGACTAAACCAAATCTTGACAACAGAATAACCAAATAATTTCTACAGCATAAGGGAAAAAAACCTTCAGAGTAAAAGCTCTCCCATCCCGACCATCAGGAAAAAGGACAGTGAGTAGTTTTTTGTCTGTTTTCACAACCACGCTGCAGTTTGAATAATCGTAAGTTTGTGTTAACAATAAATTAAGTTAAATTTTATCGCATAATAGTGACAAACTTTAACAAAAAAAAATTTGCAGCCCTCGTAAATACTAACCTCCCTGAGTTGTTGAGTTCAATGCCACCAAGTGTGGGGTTTGGGGCTTCACTTCCTTTCTGAGGTAGCGCGTTCTGAATTCAACGCAAGAGAAACAGTTCAGGATTTGGCAAGCTTGAAAATAAAGCACTTCAAAACATTTTGGAAGAAATAGTTTCAAGCTATAAATTTTTTCATATGTAACTTCTATTATATATAATGAAGCATATGAAAGAACCTCTTTATAAAGATTTAAACAAAAATCTAGCATGAAAGAAAAATGTAATAAAAAGTAACAAAATGAACTGATCAGCAAATGATATTAGCCATAAAGGAAAATCTCTTGCTTATCACAAGAAGTGTTAGCGACTTTCAATAACTAAAAAAAGTTTTTTGTGCATTCCTATGAGTTAGCCCAGTGGAGATGAAGAAACAAAGAGGATTCCATCTTCCATCTTTTCAGCATATCTCCCAATGTATCCAATGGAATAAAACCATTAAATAGTTCTAAATACACCAAACAATCCCATGAACCCTTGTTTCATTGGTGAATTAAAAAATAAAGATAAATATTACAATCGGTAATACTTAGCTGCATGATGATAGAACTTTTATTACTAGAAAAGTAGACCATCTAGAAGACTACATAGTAATACATTTTTTTAAATATTAACAAGCCTATTTTTACAAACAAACTATGAGAAAAAGGTGATAAAGCTTCAAGCTTATTTATTATCGACCAACAACAGCAACAACAACAACATCAAGCATTTGTCCCACTACGTGGGGTCGGCTATATAAATCTTTTTTTTCCATTGTGTCCTATTAAAAGTCAAACTCTCGTTTAAATCTAATAAAGAAATATCATTTCTAATATTTTCTAACCAAGTTTTTTAGGTCTACCTCTACCTTTCTTAACATAAGTCAAATCTAATATCTCTACTTTCCTAATTGGGTCATCGGAAGGCCGCCATTTTATATGACCAAACCATCTAAGGCGACTCTCTATAATCGAACCTTTTCACGTATATGCTCATTCTGTATCCTAACTCTAAGGGTAAAGCCACTCATCCATCTGAATATCCTCATCTCTGCAACACTTAACTTGGTATTATGCTTCTCTTTTAATGGCCAACATTCGGCACCATAAAGCATTACAGGTCTCACCACCATCTTATAAAATTTTCCCTTAAGTTTGAGGAGGGCTTTCTATCACAAAACAAGCACAATGCATTCCTCCACTTCAACCATCCAACTTAAATTTTGCTGATAATATCCCCATCTATTTTACCATAACTCTGAACAATAGAACCAAGATATCCAAACGTGTACTCTTATTAATGACTTGATCGTCCAAAATAACAATCCCCTAACTAGGTCTACTACTACTAAAATTACACTCCATATATTCAGTTTTAGATCTACTAAAGCGAAAACCTTTAGAATCTAAGGTTGACCTCCATAATTCAAGTTTACCTTCAACTCCCTTTCTAGTCTTATCAACAAGAAGAATATCATCACCAAAAAGCATACACCAAGGTACATCCTCTTGCAAATGTCTAGTGAGAACATCCATGACTAAAGAAAAAAGATATGGGCTTAAGGCTGATCCTTGATGTAATCCAACCAAAATAGGAAAATACTTGGTCAAACCACCTTGTGTTTGAACACAAGTAATAGCTCCTACAAACATATCTTTAATGATTTGAATATAAGCATTATTAACTCCTTTCATATCAAGAACTATCCATGGCACTTCTTTTGGAACTTTATCATATGCTTTCTAAAAAACAATAAATAACATATGTAGATCGTCCTTATTCATTCTATATTTCTCCATCAAACCTCTCAATAAATGAATGGCTTCCATAGTAGACCTACCCGGCATGAATCCAAATTGATTTTGAGAAACATTAGTACCATGCTGCAACCTACACTCCATAACTCGTTCCCATAGTTTTAAAGTATGACACATTAGCTTAATTCCTCTATAATTAACACAATCTTGTACATCACCTTTATTCTTAAAAATAAGAATAAACACACTCATTCTCCACTTATCTGGCATCTTTTTAGTCTTCAAAATAACATTAAAAGTTTAGTAAGCCAAGAAATTCCTTCATCCCCTAAGCATTTCCACACCTCTATTAGAATATCATCAGGTCCTACAGCTTTTCCACACTTCATTTTCTTTAAAGCCTCTTTAACTTTGGTTTTACTAATACGCCGATAAAAATAGAAATCTTTATTTTCATTTAGGGTGCTAAGGTTACTAAAGTCAATCGTATTTTCACATTCTTCATTAAAAACTTTAGCAAAATATTTCATCCATCTTTGTTGAATATCATCTTCTAAGAAAAGTACTTTTTGATCTGCATCCTTAATACACTTCACTTGAACTAAATATTTACTACTCCTATCTCATTGTTTGACTAACTTATACATATATCTTTCTGTCTCCTTAGTATCTAATCTATTATAGTATCTAATCTATTATATAAATCATTAAAAGCTAAAATCTTTGCATCGCATATTGCTTTCTTTATTATTATCAACCAACTGGATGAAATATATAAAGGCTATACAACCAAAAGGTTAAAGAACTGCAGTATAAAGCTCCTTTATCATTTCTAAATTCTTCCTACATATAGTATCATGGGTCATAGGGGTCATTATGTTTCAATTTTAGTAAAATATAATCTACTTCTCAATCTTCACGAGTCTTAGCTACACATGATACCTTATTGATAAATTAATAAACAAAAGCAAATTAAAGATAGCAACATAACGAAAAGATCATAAGTGCTCAACTTACAGGGTCGACCCTATAAAACATCAAGGATTTACGAGAAAGAACAAACCACCGTTTTTTCCAAGATGTCCATCCAATTCCTGTGAATCCATAAGAATCAGTTTCAAACTGAGTTTATATAATAGTCAAAATCGCACCAAAAAAGTTCAAAGACAGGAAAATGGACATCTCTATATTTTACATAAGATGTTGGCTATTTTAATTGTCTGGTCGATAATATTTGCCTTTTGGAATTCTCTACATGCACAGTATTCAGGAAAGACCTTTTCGAGTGGCTGAAAACACATTAGAAATGGTAATTATCCATAGAAATAGAGATAGATACAGCATAAACTTCTCAGCTTAAAAAAATGCAGGCACAGAAAAGAACTGTACAATATAGTACATAGCTGCTAAACAAATGTGGCGGCCAGTTGTAGCATCTTCTTTTTAGTAAACCAATTCAAAAAAAAGTAAATTTATTTCTTTCAGTGAGAAAATTACCAAAACAAAGATGGCTGAAGAATGAACAATATAAGTAAACTCCTCAATATAACAAACAAAATTAAATGTGTTTTCCACTGGCAGAACCATGTGATGCCCAGAGTGGGCAATTTCTCACCATAAAAAATAAATTTTCTCTTTATAGGACTATTTGGTAATTCGCCTCCCTTCCCCCTTTTTTCCCTAGTGCCGTAAATCAGGCCTTCCATAATCGCATTAGCTACGTTATCTGCGTGGTTCGTCTCCCTTGAACTTGCCTTCTCGGTCACTCCTCACTGGGTCTTGGAACAAAAAATCATTAAATTTTGCTTATCATATGAATTTATTCACCTTAGCTGCCCCGTCTCACCTCCTTCTCGGTGGCTCAATCAATAATATTATATTATTGGCTCTTTCTCTTATCATGCATCATATAAAATAAATTACTTGGTTTATAAATTTTTTCTTTCCTCAATCAGTTTCTTTATGTTATATTTTTAAGTTTTAGAATTGATTATTTTGAAATAATACAGTAAATAATATAAGATTGCATAGTTACATTTTATTTTACGTCTAACCAATGAAAATTTTGAAAGGTTATTAATAAAGTATTCTAGTTTATACTATAAAATGGTATACAATACGTTACTTATTAGTATATAAAATTTGTCTTTCATATACTAATGTGTTTTGAATTTAGCATATATGATTTTGAAATAATTCGATGAAAATATTTGGTTTTGCGATTAACATTTTATTTTACTTCCAACCAGTGAAATTTTGGTATGGTTATTAATAATTAATTCTAGTTTTAAGTTTAAGGGATTTAAAATCTATACTAAATATTTAATAAAGGGACTGACGGCCAATTACAATTCTACTTTGCAAAAGCCAAAAAAAAAACATTTACATTGAATAGTAAACATCATAAAATAAATAACTATTATCTTTCACTCAGTGCATGACTAAAATTATAATTAAACTCTTCTCAATACATCACAATGATTACTCTGAATAATAAACACTTTTGTTTTTCATCATCAAACCTTTTTATTATTATGGATTTTACCTGGGTTGAGCAACTAATTTACCTCATTTATTGTTTCAGCTAGATCTATTATTGTGACTTCACTTGATGCACAAAAAAGATTTTGAACCACTGCGTAGAAATAATTTTGCAATATACTTAGAGATATCATTTTGTCCTTATCATATTTACAACTTCTAATTATATGATTTAATAGTTTATTTTTCTAATATCACCCTTTAATGAATTTGATTATCATTTTGTTTGTTATCTCTATTTTTTAGGATTTAGCAAATTGATAGATATCTAAAAAGGAAGAAACATATAAAGATTAATAGTAACAATCTTCCTGCTAACCCTAGGGCTTCAATCTTTAATTTAGAATTATAACGTAAATGAAATGGATAAAGTTCAGAGGGCATATTTGTTGAAGGGCCCTCATCAATCAAAATATCATCATTTTCCTCAAACAATGATAGGAAATGTTGTATGCATATTTAATTTGAAATGATTTGATGAATATCTTGATTAGTTAGAATACATTGTGGAAAAAGACGTTGCACTGTCTTTATTGCTACATATTTAAGCCCCGAGAGAAAAATAGTATTTAGTACATACCAAGTTGGTGGAAATTCATTAGTTAGCTAAGGGTTTAAAAACTTGAAGAGAAAAGAAAATTTTCAAAGCCATGTTGGAGAACATAATAGCATACATAAGAAGGCAAGATAAACATACGAGGATTTAATGAAAGTATCAAGAACATAGTCTTTCAATTTCATGGCTGAGCAAGGATGAGAAGAACAAAAAAGAGTACTAGATCATGTTGACTGTAGTTGTTTATTGTATGTGATTTCTTCTACATTAAGGATTGTCATTATGTGATCATGATGAGCCCTCTACATTGAATAATCAAGAAATTTATTTGGAGTTTTTTTCATTTCCTTGTTAATCAAAAGATGTAAAGCAAGTAACATTTGTGAAAGCCAGCTCAAATTTCAAATTAAGTTCGCCAAAGGTTCAACCGTTCAAAAAAAAATTAGTAGTGTTGCAGCTGCTATACTCTTGGCTTCTATAATGAATGATATAGGTGATTGGTACTTCTCAATTGTAGTAGATGGGTTACATAATATCTCTACAAAGAAACAACTAGCTGTTGAAGTGAGATATGCAAATAACTTGGGCCAAGTTATTGAAAGATTTATAGTTATTAAGCATATCGCCTCAACTAATGCAGCTACACTTAAGGCGCCCCTTGAGCAATACTTGTAAAGCATTCAATAAGCATGCACAAGATACATGGTCAAGGATATGATGGTGCATCTAATATGCGAGATGGGTTTCATCGTTTTAAGGCAGCGATACTACATAATAATTTGCATGCATTTTATGTTAATTATTTTTCTCATCAACTCCAATTATGGTTAGTAGGTATAGCAAAAAAATAATTTGCACATGAAGCATTTTTTGATAATACTTCAAGAATTGTGAATATTGTTGGAGCTTCACATGAAAGTATTGATATTCTTAAAGTCATTCAACATGATAAAATAATTTTTTATCTTACCATTGAAGAGCTTAGTAGTGGTTGAAGTTTGAACCAAGAGACCACTTTGCAACAAGCTCTAACACTCGTTGGGGTTCACACCTGAATTAGTCTTATGAAAATGTATGTTTATGTAATAGAAATGCTTGAAATTGTCAAGGAAGTTAGGTTGTATAATACACAATCAATTGAAGCTGTTGTTTTGATAAATGCAATGAAATCTTTTAACTCTATCGTGGCGATGCACTTGATGATTAACATTTAGGAATTACAAATGAATTATCACTGACCTTACAAAGAAAAGATCAAGATATCATATAACAACAACAACAATATTAAGCCTTTATCCCACTACGTGGGGTCGGCTACATGAATCATTTTTTTTCATTGTGTCCGGTTAAGAGTCAAATTCTCATTTAGATCTAATAAAAAAAGGGTCATTTCTAATATGTTATAATCAAGACTTTTTAGGTCTACTTCTACTTTTCTTGACATAGGTTAAATCTAATACATTTACTCTCCTAACCAAGTCATCGAAAGGCTACCATTTTATGTTACCAAACCATCTAAGGCGACTCTCTATAATCTTATCTGCCACTGGAGCTACTCCAACCTTTTCACGTATATGCTCATTTTGTACCTTGTCTCATCCACCTAAGCATCCTCATCTCTGCAACACTTAACTTAATGTTATGTGTTCCTTTTAGCCAACATTCTGCATCATAAAGCATTGCAGGTCTAACCACCATCTTATAGAATTTTCTCTTATGTTTGAGTTGTACTTTTCTATCACACAATAAGCCCAATACATTCCTCCACTTCATCTATCCAACTTGAATTCTATTAATAATATCCTCATCTATTTCACCATCACTTTGAACAATAGACCCAAGATATCTAAAGATCAAGATATCAAAAATGCAATAAAATTAGTACAAGTATCAAAGCAACAATTGCGGATAATGAGATGGATTGGATTGCAATAAAATACTTTAAGTTTCACGTTTTTTATAATATTTTTAAAATTGATGTTCCTAATATGAATTCTATATTTAAGCCTCACAGAAGGTCAAGACAGAACAATGTAGAAATAGCAAACTTGCATTATTATCATGTTAACTTAGTTTACACCATTATTGATATGCAAATTCAAGAACTAAGTAATTAATTCACTAAAGCCAGCACTAAATTGCTTCTTTGTGTGGCATGTCTAACCAAATAATTATTCTTGTAGAGTTATATTGAGTTGATTTCTCTATAATTAAACTTGTGATTTTTTAACAACAATAATCCACATATATTGTTGATATGCTTACAAGCGATGAGTTCTCGTGTTTGAGTAGCATAATGCAACTGTGTCATAAAATGCAAAATAGAATGCAACACTTTAATTATTTTTCAATTTATCAATCACAATAAAATATATGTTTTTTCTTTGATTTTTGTCTTACAAATATTTTTAAATTAAATTATTTATGTTTTAACTTTGCCCACCCAAAAAAATAAAATTGGCTCCGCATTTTAGCATATGTTAGATCAGCGTGATAGAAAGGATAAAAAAGAAAACCAATGTTGTAGATAAGAAAACCAAAAATCTAGCTAAAAGAGGAAATATGATATCCAGTAACTGTGAAAAGACACACCTTTAGATGATATTAACAGAGGCCCACTCTTCAAGATCTGCCAAGTCAGGTTTCAAGAAAGATAACTTAGCAAAAGCAAGATACCAAAATAAAACTAAATCAACTTATTAAGAAATAAAACTCAACTGATTTGATCTAAGTGAAATATCAAATCAATTACAAATAACGAGTTTAGCATGATTATGCATACAAACAGTCATTCTATTAAGCTTAACCAGACATCAAACGAAAGAATTGTCACATATGTTCTGCCAAAGAAACTCCAAAGGTCCTTCGAACGGGCCATTTTAATAATATCTGGTAAAATACAGAGTAATTTACAAGCTATGGCAAATCTACGGTATATTATCTGAAACCAGATAGAGAACGAGAATTACATTGTGAGCTTGGAAACTAATAAGTTTGAGTAAAAGAAACAGATATATTCTGATATGGTAACCTATTCACGTGATTTAGCTGGTCATTGAAAATAAATATTAATTATAACTCTACAAAGATGGTTCAGTGATTTCCACAAGCTAAATGTTGCAGAACCAAATATCTAAATGTCGAGATTTCAGAATCCCTTCAGCTGAATCATAAAATATTTGCACAAATTTCCTTATCAAATAAGAATTGTTTCGATGCAATTTTAAATAGAATCATCAATCAAAAATAAATTACAAATCAAATAAAGAAATATAAAAAAAAAAAATCTGAACAAATTCGATGACATAGAAAACAATAAAAATAATCCTCTGAATGCAAGATCTCTTAAGAGATTCTTTCAAGACCATAACTTGTTACATGAGTCTGATGTTCATATTTTTTAACATGAAAATTAGTATAAATATCTTTATAGACCAAATATTTGCTAATTAGCATTGCATTTACAAACTTTTACCCATATTGTTTGGACTTTTCCGTCAAGCATCTTGAAACTACAAAGAATTTTGTTTCCCCTACAAGTAATATGGGTTTCGAAAATTCACACCCCACTTCTACTAAGAGAATTTTGGTACTTTCCTACTCAAATTTTCAAAAAGCATACTAGATTTAAAATAAAACACTACCCAAAAATTTTGCCCTCATTTCATAAGGACTTTATGATATAATTCTATGTTTCTCATAAGTGTGAACCCTATAGTTAATTCTCCCCCGATGATAAAACTAGCCATTAGAAGCTAAGTACTTAGGGAATAATAGAAGCAATTTGGTATGAGTTTTAAAATTTATCGTCTTACACTTAATGTGGATGGTGCATAGAATGATGATGAACACGATTAAGATCTCATGGTTCCATCATCCCGAGCTTTCGTAATCCTAAGTCTATTTAGTCATAGGAGGTAGTCGACTCAACCTGAACGAAGGAGTTTCCACTGATTGAGACTCACTATCAATATGGCTATCTTCAAGCTCCTTAAATGAGCTCATTTTAGTATTTGAACCTTGTTAGCTCTACTCACTTGTTGGCAGAAAATTGGGTTCACATATTAACTTTGTAAGTCACTACGTGGACAAGATAACTTTGAGAGATTACATTTTTAAATAAATGTCATTTTCAAAAGGTATAAATATCATTCTCATTTTTGCAATTTTCATTTTATTTATTTTAGTTATATTTTTCTGATTAAATGAGTTATAAATGATATGCTTCATGTAAGTATATTAAATCCTAATTTCGACAACCTCCCGATGTCTCCCCTTTGTATGGGCATCCTTGGGAGAGTTGAACCTTCCCGCCTTGCTTAAAAAGTATGTATAATTGGTGTCGTAAAACACCGCAGCTAAGGGTCTTTTATCCCACTACCCTTAAAAAACACATAATTCTTCATAACTTGCACGAGCAAAAAGATAGAATTTACTCATCGTGTGGGAACAACAGATACATGTACTTATTTTGCAATTTTTCACCACATTTAAACAACTCATATGGGAGATAATGCGAAGAGAGCAAAAACACAATCTTTTTTGGATTTTTTTCTCTATTTTGTTCTCTTTATATTAGAGAGAGAAGGAGCAAGAGAGAGAGAAATGGGTAGGGAGAAACGGAGGAGCTGAAGAAGGAGAGAGGATGGAAGAAAAAAAGAGGGACAAAGAGAGAATTCACTCTTCTATTTGAGAAGGTTAGTGAATTAGAGAGAGGGGGAGAAAGAGAGTTCAGTTTGTCAATATAGAGAGAGAAAAGGAGAGAGAGAGAGGGCTATTGAGTTAGAGAGGGAGAAAGAAAGAGAAAAGGGTGAGAAGTTTGGAGAGAGGTTTATCTCTATTTTAGAGAGAGGAGAATAGTAGAGAGTTAGAGAGAGAAAGTGAGCCATGGTCGATGGAGCTCGAACTGGTGGTTTGCCGACAGGTAGAACAATTAGAGGGAGATGAGAAAAATGGATAAGACAAGCAAGTGAGAAGAGGGGGTCGCTGCCTTTGTGGTTGTGAGGAGGAAGATTTTGGAGAGGGAAAGGGGAAGTGGCTAGAAGGTGGGCTCGACGTGGGGACTAGGATGTGCAGTGTGCAGCATGGAGTGACAGGCGGTCACAGGTTGTTATGATCGGCTACTAGAGGGTCAGGTGGAGAACAGAGAGGCTCCAATAAGGTGTAGAGAGATAGAGATGGGTGGTGAGGTATGGTGCCATGGTGATGAATCACTGCATGAGGTGAGGATGGCCAGCTAGGAGTCGAGTGTAGGAGAGAAGAAAGTGATGTAGGACTACAATACTTTTAAATGAATGCAAAAGGAACTTACACAATTTCTTGAATAAAACAATTAGGATTAAAACTATTAGCAACCAAAACGATAAAAGAAAACGTGAGAGGGGTGACTGCGCTTAGGTCAAGTCACATGTCAAATGCTTGGATTATTGAAATAACTTAAAATTTCAATAGCATGCAAATTAAGTAGCTTTCAACATAATCCCTACACTAACAATGAGATTAGAAACATATAAAGCTAAACTCAATTCATACGATTACTAAGCTTGGCAGAGATTGGAGAGCAAGACCTTCACGAATCAAATCAAACCACAAGAGAGAGGTAAACTATGAAAATACAAGAGTAGAAGATTGGAAGACCTTTGTCACGGTTTGGACGTAATCCACCATTAAACGGCACCAAGTTGCACCTCTATGGCTTCGGTGAGAGTATCTAGAATGCACTCCACGTACTCCTCCGACAGTGTGGTCGATATTTGGATTGACGTCGAAGAAAGTTGAGTGAAGGATGTGTACGAAACCTTGCTCGTCGTAGGCAATGTGGTAATCAAGATATGGATCGATCATGCATTGATCTAGTTGTGTTGAATTGTTGTGAGAGGTGGTCCTTTTCTGTACTTTTCGTTTCCCTTGAAAGAGAGAAGTTTCTCTCAAAGATCCAAGTAGGCGAAGGTAAGAGAAGGTGGCCGGCCAAGGGGGAGGGCTAGGGGAATTTTGGTTCAGGTTTTGGGAGATTAAAGTGAAGGGAAATTAATTTAAACACTTCCTAATTATTCCCTTTGATTGAGAATAATTAAAGGAAAGAGAAAGAAGGAGAGGGGCAGCGGGCAAGAGAGGGAAAGCTTGGGAATTATTTCCAAAACCAATGAGGGGATTTTGGAAAGTAATAAGGAGGTGGGGCTTTAGGAGGTTTCGGCCAAGGTGAGAGGGTGAAACATTCGGAAATATTTCCAAGAGAGAAAATTGGATTTAGGAAATAAATCCCTTTGGAATCCAATAGGGGGGTCGGCGGCTTTTAATGGAGTGGGGTGGGCTTATGGCAAGTGTTTATGTCTTGATTAATAGGGAATCTTAAATTAGGTAAGGAAAATTAAATCTCACTTAATCAAAGATTGATTTGAGGATGAGATTTAAAACTTTCCTAAAATAGATTTCGTATTTTAGGAAAATTTTGAATTTCAAATCACTTGGATTTGAATTCAAAATTGATCCTAATTATATGCAATCTATATTAGGAAATAATGGAAAAAGGAGGGAAAAGCCCAAAGTGGGCTGGCGGTTTGTGGTGTGGCTGTGAGGGTGTGGTGGGGACGGAGGGGTGGGTGCGTGTGGTAGGGGAGTTAGGGTTAACCGACGGTGAGGTGGAGTTGTATGGTGGCCGACGGCATAAGTGTATAGGAGAACTCCTAGGCCGACGGCTAATTGAAGGAGGGAGGAGGGGAGAGGAGATAGAGAATAAAGAACCACGAACCCGGCCATCTCCAAGTTTGGTGGGTGATCCGGTTTCCCTCTCCTAGGGATTTCTCTCTCAAGCACTCTCAAGATCTCACAAAGAAATCAAGCAGGGAAAATTTTATCATTCATCATTCATTCATTAAAACCTTAGAAGAGAAACATAAGGGCTATAAATAGCCTCATACAAAAGGACTCAAAATAAAAAGACGACAATGTCCTTAGGGCTTACATACGACCTCCCTTAAGTAAGGGGTAAAAACGGGAAAACAAATACAACATAAATAATAAAAGACAAATACATGAAATGACTCAAAAATACATTGACTCGATCGTGGCCGTAGATCGACGGTCACGCGTCTGATAGACTTTTCACGCCCTGATGTCCCCATCAGAAAGAGTAAATACGGGTTTGCTTGTTATATTTAGTAGAGAAAAAAATGAGAGAGAGAGAGAGAGAGATAAGACATGACAAGAAGTGCATGGCAATTGCAAGGGTGGATGCAACTTCATGCAAGAATTGGGAGATAGGAAGTAATATGATAAAATTTTTATTTTTTTCTCTAGTTTTGATTTTTTAATTAAATTAAAAAAATAAAGATGTGAATCAACTCACATAATTTTGCATTTCTCGTACATCTCAAAATTCATGTCATCTCCTCATGTGCAGGTAATTTGCCTTTTGTCGTTATGAAGCAAACCAAGTAATATGAAATATCAATTTCGAGTAAGTTCAATATTCCTAACACATTGGCATAGTTTATTTCACAAGTGGACGATGTTCAGGTGATTTTTACTCGACATTACGTCCATAATCCGTCATTTTCATCGTGCTTGCCTAAGGCGCACGTGAGAGATACTTTTTTGGTAAATTCAATGTTCCAAAAGTGTCAACGTAGTCCACTTCGCAAGTACCAATGTTTGGGCAACGTTTATGCGGCATCGCATCAATTGGTCATCATTCTCATCACACATACTCAAATTAATAATGAAGCACAAATGAAGGTCGACAAATGTCCCCCAACAAATATGGTATGTTCTTAGAATGAACCATATTTGCTGCAAAATGTTTGACCCTATAGATCTCCAAATGACTGTCTGGATATCTCATTAAGGGTTTCACCATGCGGACTTTTAGAGGAACATATGAACGTCAATGCAAGAAGTAAAGTTAACTTTGAAACATAGATATAACTCATTGTAAGGAAATATAAGATCATTAGAGGTCCCTCAAGGTTAAAGTTATTGACACGGCACTTCACAGGTTGATAATAATAGAGGTAACATTGTTATCTTTTTTTTGTCCTTCTTTTTTTTATTGTTATTTTAATTTTCATATTTTCATTCATATTAAATGACTTTCTACTAACTTAACTACAGGTAGGTTGAGTGACAACTATACTACTATATAAGAAGCAAATCCTTTGGATAGAGTATGGGTTAGAGAGCCATCTTCCCACTATGAAACTTAGCCTTCTCTGATATATGGATGCAAACATACTTGTCATGTGGAGCCTCCCCAAGCCTCAACAGACTGATCAACTAGTGCAACCCCGTGACAATTTCTAACTCTCATAGGAGCATTCAGCTCAGGTATGACTTCTTCTTTTTTGTTCCATTTTTATTTCATGTTTTTGTATCGTCTCTTTTTTATGAATACTAATTTATTATTTAATGCAATTCCTAAAGAAGCGGGTTACAAGTTTGAAATATGTTGAAGAGTGACATGAGATATTAGGAAGGGCAGTGCAAGGAAGCATTCTTAGTTCAACGGCTAAAATCTCTCAATAATATATGGAACAAAACCCCACATCTAAGATAGGATAGATGAAGCTATGAGGTAGCATCACCGCAGGCTAGCGAGCATCACAGCTCAACTTGACAGTATCTCCTCCAAGAGTAGGCATCTTATGAGAGGGATTAAGATCGCTTGTCACTACTATGTCATAGCTTTGAGGCTCTTATTATTTTTTTACTTTTTCTTGTTGGAAAACAAAACTATAAATCTGATATTCGTATCTTTTTTTTACTATGTAAATCTCAAGCTTATACTCTCTTTTTAATTTAATAAATTAAATGTTATACTAAAATAGTAAAATGTAATCATTTAAGAGATTTTTCTCATGCTGTAACTGGCTTTTTATAATACCCAAAATTTGTTCAAAAAGATGAGCGTAAATTTATCCCCGAAATTATACCCCAAGATACCAACTGTTATCAAAGAATAAATTTTTTAGTTCATTATGTTCTACTCATCAAACTAAACAAATTTCTATATAGAAGTATATATTAATTTGCAAGAACGTAAACGTTATTGAATAAATTTTTATTTGCATTTTTTTTCTAAATTTTTCCTTTTTTGTTCATTTATTAAATTCATTGTAGCAAAATCAGAGTTCCACTTACCTATGCATGCAACGGGTGATCCACTCAAGGCTTTAATCACATGACTAGGTGCGGTTGAGAATGCATTAGTGCTAGTGTTATATTATATTACTATATAGATAAGTTAACTAAAGCATTTTCCCATTCCATTCCCACCCGTAGCCAGGCTCTAGAGTGCAAAGCTGCCATTTGCCGAGTGTAGGCTGAGAGTTGCAAAAGAAGCCTGGGAAACCGTGGCCGTGAGGGCTTCTGCAGCAAAAATCTCAAAAATCGGTAGGAAGAGAAGAAAATAAAAGGAAGAAAAGAAAAGGAATAAGAGGAAGGAGGCTGGGGAGAGGTAAGGGAATTAGTTAGAATGAGGAGAAGTTTAGTAAAGGTAAAACTCTATATTTTTGGGTTTATCATAACTTGACTTCAACAATAAAGTTAGAATGCTTTTATGAATGGCAAAGTCTTTATTCTTTAGGTTGTCTATAAAAGAAAAAGAGGTCGGAGTGTTCTGGTGATAAAATTCCCTAGAAAATAAGGTGAGATACTCGATCCCTAATACAAAAAGTAGCAAATTGGTTTAAATATAATTGTTTAGCATTTTAGTTTTATAGTCACTTGTTCAGCATGAATTATTGCATATATACAATGTGTTTTCATATTGTGACATAATAGTCTGGACACTTGCTATGCTAGTTTAGAAGTTATGGAGAAAAGTCATATTGTGGGCATATGCCTGCACCAGTAAAGATGAAAGATCTAATAAGGTAAGACTTAATAGGGGCCGTTAAGAGGTGCTCGACACTCTTTTCTAAAAATTTAGAGATTTAGATCCAACCTTGAAAGGGGGAGCTATAAATATGCTAAAGCCTATAGTCATCCTATGACTTACCTATAAAGTAAAATAAACAAAATAAGCAATATGAAAAAAGCTGAAAGAATTTATACAGTGAATTGCACAATTATATGTTTTGATTATTTTCCATAACAATGACTGTTATAGTAGTTTAAGCATATGCACCATTATTTCTTGTTCTTGCACTAGAATTGTAAATTTCATTTAGCATTCAGCTCACCAGTGGATGTATTGCAAAAAAGGGGAATGAGCTAGCAGGGCTTTCGCAAGAGTTTGATTGCGTTGCGTACATAAGTTTTGGGTGTACATAGTAGACATATCAATAATCCATAATTAAACTTTTGGGTATGTATAAACTTTATTTGAAATTTTAGTAAAACTTTGTACCTTATTTTGATGTGTTTCGAGCATGCTTCCGAATATGAATAAGGTAAAATTCTAAAGAGGCAAATTAGTTGTGTTGGGATAGTTTGGATAGGTTATTTCCGACTCATTTGATCCTAACGGAAGTAGTTTAGGATGGTGTTAGTTAGAAATATATTTCTCTATATTCTCCCTCTATTACACTCCAGGTTGACTGAAGATGGTCAAAATGAGATGACACTTTTTGCATTTAAATAATAATGTACTTTGAGGAACTTCTGTTAAGATTGGCTAATTGAAATTTTTATAGGAATATTTGTTCAACTCAAGGATGTAAAAATCAAACACAAAATCCTCTAGCACCACTCTAGCACCACTACAAGGACCTATTGAGCCAATTGAAATTATCAACGATCTAATACTTTGTACTTGGACTTGTTGATAACAACTTCATTTCAATAGATTTAAAATTTTGCGGATCCCTCTATTCTAGCTTTTAGCATTGATGCACTTGAAAAAGAAATTTGCCTGAGTTGTCCTTATCAGCTTTGCAAAGGTTGAGCATACATTCTTCTTTATGTTTTCTGTTTTGACATATTTGATGAAGGATGCACCTGGGTGACCGTCTTCAAGACTTTTATTAGGATGATAATAGAGAGTCATCGATCCAAAGCTTTCTGCATAACAAACTCATTGATGGCGAAATTCCTTAGGTTCAACCTCAAGCTTTGTACGAACTCCGGGATAACTTTTTCAGTCCTAAGATTTACCCTTTATCAAACTTGTTGAAGAATATAATCTCCTTTGATCTTCGTTTTATACTTGACAAACTAAAAAAAGTTAGGATTCTGATTTGACAAAGATACCAAACACGTCTTGGCATCCTCTTGAGCAATATAACTTTTTGATAATGCCTTGACCCTTTGACCAATTGAGTATAACTTTTTGATATGGGCTACTTTAACTAATCAAATCAGATAGGATGGGGAATTAAAAGCTCTTGTATTGGGCTAACGAAATCGGAGCTTTCTTACTGTGACTTTTCTTATGGCTTGTTAAGTAAGAAAGCATGCCAACCATATTTATTCATGTTGAGTCCGACTTTATACACCCGTTCGAGCCACACACATGAGCTATAGGAGATTGTGTTTTTTCAGCCTGATTTATTGAAGTTTGCACACTTAAACCCGTTCTTGACTTTCGAGGTCTTTGAATGTGCAAATTTGAAAGTTTATTAATTCAACTGCATGAATGTTTTATTAAATGAGGCTTGTCTTCTCGATTATGCATTAACCCATCACCTAGTTCATAAAAATTTTATGGATCTGAGTTACTCTAACGCGTGAAGTTAGATAGGCCTTACACTTAACAACTTTTGTCATCAAGTTGACGAAATGGTGCTTTCTTAATGCAACCTTTCTTATAACTTATTACATAAAGAAACCTGCAAGCGACTCATCTATATTTAGGCTTATTGTGTTGACCTTATCCAGCCGCTCAAGCCCAAGATATGAGCTATAGAAGCTTGCGCTTCTCCAGCTTGATTCATTGAGATTACTTAACTTGAAAATCTCTTCATTTGATTTTTAGAACTTTGGCAAGGTGAAAGGATGAATCTCCAGTTTTTGTAGTCATCATATGTACACTTATTTGAACGCAATAACTTTAACTCTGTAGTTGCATTGTTAGATAAATTGTATTATCAATAATTTTAAATGTTTATTTGGTGAACTCAACATAAAGCTCAATGTCAATCAAAATAAATATTTAGAATATCTCATGTCTTACAAAGAAAACTTCAGCAAATCTGAACTCTAAAAATTTTGAAAATGCCTCTTAACTTTTAGAGGAATTTTCATGATAATCTGAAAAATATATCCTTACATTACAGGAGAGTTCCAACAAAATTTGAACATGCATATCAGTATACAAAAAGGAAAACATTTTTCAATTTTGCAAGAGAATTTTAAAAACAATGTTTTTCAACTTCATGCACAACATTTCTTCAAATACCAACCTAAAATCAATGGCATAGTGAAAAAAAGCAGCCACTAAAGAGGACAATTACAAAATCCCTAAACAACCTCTAATTCAAATTTTTCCTCTCAAAGCAAGGTTTAATTGAGTTGTGGGCCTCATATCTCCAGCCGGCCCCCTCTCTCTCTTCCTCATGGTTCCGCCCACCCCTTTGGACCGTCGCCTATAGCATAAAACCGGTCTAGGACCCCAGGTTGGACCGGTTCAACCGATATGCTCCTACCTTAATATACTTCCTCGATAATAAATGAATCTTCCCAATTTGGCTCAAACTTATCACATATTTTTCGATGAGAGATGATTAGCCTTGTTAGCACCAGGACAAATATTGAGTGATAGTTTGAATATTATATTAGCTTTGTGCCAGAAGTGTTCAACGAATTTTTGTAGGCAAACAAGGTTTCAAGTTATAATGACATGGCAATATTAGTTGCTATCTATTGCAGCTTAAGGGCTTGCATTGGAAATTGAAAATTTTCAAATAAGAGTTTAACATTTGAAGGCTGGAAGGTTGGAATAGGAACCAGGGTTTTAAAAAATGTTTCTGAATGCTTTTAGATGCAAATTTATGACCCACAAAAGCTTAATAATAATGATATTGGCTATTTAGATAAAGGAGGATGTTTGTCTCACCAAGTATTAAAGACTTTTTTCTAAGATGCATTTCATGAAACTGGCAATGCGGCTTAAGTAAGCTTGTAATAGGATCAATTCAAATGTTTAAAAAGTATTTCAATGAAGCAAGTACAATGCCATGTTCATCATTGCCATGAACATTAGTCATGTTTATAAGTATCATGATAGTTCTAAGTATATCACATGGAATGGAGATTCAACACAGTAAAAAGCTGCAAAAAAAACCCAAGCCAATGATTATGTACGTGTACATGAGCATGTACACGCAAGCCTGAAACAAATCACCATTCCAGTTTCCCTATGTTAGGCCACAGAACATGAATTAATATCACTCCACTCGTCCATATACGGTAACCCTTGATTAAAAATGTCAGCAGTAGTTTATATGTATGACAGGACATATCTTACTGTCCAAGATAGATAATTTTCAAAGATGCAAAACTATTATGCATGTTATGGTCAATTAAATTATTTGGAAAGCAAAATGAATTTAAAAACATATATAAAAAAAGGTCTATTTTCAATTTGACAAACAAAAATCACATGATGAAGTGCAAAATAAAGTAGGGAAGACAACTGTTGTAGTGTATAAGCTTGCAAACAATTTTTGTTGCATTCATACAGATGATAAGAAACAATTCAAGTAATAGAGGTGATACATAACTATTCTAATTTTAAAATGATAAGCCTTCTCAGATAAGCACACGTAACTTGAAAAATTTTAAACAAATAAAAGAACTATAATAGAGAAACTACACAAGCAGTATGTAACCTACCTCACAATTACGACAGCTACTTGATTGATTGTCAGAATTTTCAGAGGTTCTTGTTGTCCAAATATTTTGGTCCCCTTCACCACATCTACAAGCCGTGCTTTGTATTGAATTCTCATTCATTTGAAACGAAGCCATCTGTTACAACTGTTAAATACCTAAAAGTTATCACTCTGCCATAACATCCAAGCAAACAGCTTCTGCTTTCAAAGCCAAAGAAACCATCACCAGCCATGATCAATTAGAGTGAACATAAGAAGCATGAAACCTCAACAATAATTTAGGGATGAATAACAAAGTGAGAGTACAGAAGAAAAAAAAAAGTTAAGAGAAACATGCGAAGTGATTCATAAATGAGAGGATTCATTTATTGTAATAAAGGGACACCACGGAGTGCCATTGTGTGATAAAACTAGGGTGAACCCAGTAAATGGAGTTCCTGTATATACGTGTTCAATATCTGCATCACAAAAGAAAAGTTTTCATGTTTCTATATATATGTATGTATATATATATATAATGGAAGCAACCTTTGCATCGTAGTCTCAAGCCAGGTAAAAGTGCCCAAATCCAAAACAAATATAACTCATTCAATATTTTAAGCCAACCAGATCAGTAGACTTCGTTAACAGCCCTGTGCATTATTGTTCATGTTACATAGTAGCAGAAGTTCTTGTCATCGAATGCAAAGGATATTGACATTTAAAGCAAAAAAAAAAAAACATTAATCTACATTAAGTATGATTTATACATTTTTCTTAATTGTTAGGGTACTTGAGGCTTTAGATTTAGCCCCAAATCAAATAGTTGAAAAACAATTTGGCATAAAAATACCCAAATGGACCCAGCCCAGGAGCTCAAAGTATACCAAGGCAACAAAGAACAACTGTACTGGAAGGGATGAACTGCTCACACATGCACAAGCTATGCTTATCAACATAAATTACGAAAAAAAAAAAAAAGGTGCCAGTGAGAAATTCACAACTTCATAAATGATCACAAAAAATTTCAAAAAAAAAAAATTATAACAATGCATTCTTATCCAATAACAATTTCAAAAGCATAAACAGCCAACTAAACTCAAATATTTTCACCAAAGTATTTCACATGATGCAAAATTGTATACTTATTAAGCATTCAGATACATTATCATATCATCCACATTACAACATAAATCCTTGCATTAATGAAACTCTATGAATCGAAGAACGCATAGAATAACACATCCAAAACAGATGAGTGCTAGCGAAAACTTCCTAAATAACCCTGATTTTAAATCTACAGTCATAAATATAACCTATAACTAAAACCTACGATCAGAAACTACAATAATCAATCTAGAAATTAATTTGACCAAAGTTTTCCATTTGCAGGAAAAACATAATGGCGTAGCCAAACTGACAAAAATTTATAGTATAATCCACAATATCTCGAGCAACAAAAGACCAAGGAGGAGAAAGCTACCGAATCTCAGCAAGAAATAAATAACAATAATAAATTAATTGCAACTAGGTTGAAGGACAAAGTTGGATGAAGTGAAGAAGTCGTAGTATTACCCTACGCTCGTCGCCTACGCCGAAATTAGAACAGTAAGGAGAGGGCCACTAATGGGAAAGGAACTTGCGGAGGATAAGGCTCGCAGCAACAGGGTCGAGGGTTGGCAAGCTTGCTGCAATTGCAGCTCGGTAAAAGCCGTCGACGAAGACGAGGGAGGGGGCCTTGAGCGACTCGGTAGATGGATGGGGATCGTGAATCTACAGCTCCAGCGAGCGGTAAGGGACGCGAAGCAGGGAAGGGTAGGGAAGGAGAGGACAAATGCGACGAATCACGGTTTGTGGAAGAACGTGCGATGCCTGGGATGCGCTGATTCGATCCCTTATATAGCGACTGAAGGTGGCAACAGCGCTACGTCCGCTAAACCGTAAAATTCAGAAAATTAAACGGATCGATATAGTTTTAAATCGAATTAAATTTTAATTTGACATGTCCAATATAATTTAGAAAATCAAAATATAATTCTTTTTAGTAATAAATATAATTATTTTTTATTCAAATAAGATGTTTGAAATATATCAAATAATGAATTTTTATTAAAATTTATAATTTTAGTATATATAATAAATAATATACTTATTAATCTTTATATTATTTATTTATTTAGAGATCATAAGTTTTATAATGTACTTTTAAAAAAAGTAGTATGGTACTATTTTTTCATTTGATTATTTTATTAAAATAAATTAAGGATAAAAAATAAAAAATTAATACAAAATAATATCAAGCATTTATGCTACCACATGGGAACGGCTACATAAATCATTTTTCTCTATGTTATCCTATTAATAATCATATTCTCTTTTAAATCCAATAAAAATATTGTTTTAAATATTTTTTAAGCCTTTTTAGGTCTACCCCTACCTTTCTTAACATAGGTCAAATATAATACATCTACTCTTCTAACTAGGTCATCGAAAAGCCAACGATTTATACGTCCAAACCATCTAAGGCGACTATCTCTAATCTTATATGACACTAGTGCTACTCCAGCATTTTCACGTATATACTCATTTCGTATTTTGTCTTTGAAAGTGAAGCCACTCATCCACCTAAGCATCCTCATGTCGTAAAACTTAACTTATTTTTATGTTTCTCTTTTAATGGTCAACATTCTGCGTCATAAAACATTGTAAGTCTCACCACCAGGTTATAGAATTTTCCCTTAAGTTTGAGGGGTATCTTTCTATCACACAACAAGCCTGATGCATTCCTCTACTTCAACTATCCAACTTGAATTATACAAATAATACCGTTATCTATTTCACCATCACTTTAAACAATAGATCCAAAATATCTAAAACATGTACTCTCATTATTTACTTGATCGCCCAAAGTCACAACACCCCCTCATGTATTTGGTTTTAGATCTACTCAAATGAAAACCTTTAGACTTTGAAGTTGACCTTCATAATTCAAGTTTTCATTCAATTCCCTCTCTAGTCTTATTAATAAGAAGAATATCATCAGCAAAAGGCATACACCATGGTACATCCACTGGCAAATGTCAAGTAAAAACATTCATGACAAAAAGTAAAAAGATATGGGCTTAAGGATGATACTTGATGTAATCAAACTGAAATAGGAAAATACTTGGTCAAACCATCTTATGTTTGAACACAAGTAATAAGTCATGCATACATATCCTTAATGATTTAAATATAAGCATTAATAACCCTTTTTTTTTTCCTTGCACTCTTCAAAGCACTTCTCTTGGAACTTTATCATATGCTTTCTCTAAATCAACTCTCTCTCATAGTTTTAATGTCTGACACGATAACTTAATTCCTCTATAATTCACACATTATTGTGCATAACTTTTATTATCAAAAATAAGAATCAACACATTCTTTTTTCACTCATCTAGCATCTTTTTGGACTTCAGAATAATATTGAAAGCTTCGTATGCTAAGAAATTCCTTCATCTTGTAAGCATTTTCACACCTCTATTAGAATATTTTTACGTCCAACAGATTTTTCAAACTTCATTTTCTTTAAACTCTCTTTAACTTATATTTTACTAATACATCAATAAAAATTAAAATCTTTATTTTCATCGAGGTTGCTAAGGTCGCTAAAATCAATTTTATTCTAAAAATCTTCATTGAAAATCTCATCGAAATGTTATTCACATTTGTTGAATATCCTCTTATAATAAAAACTCCTTTTGATATGCATCTTTAATGTACTTCACTTGAACTAAAATCTTAATTCTCCAATCTTTTTATTTGGGTAACTTATATACATCTTTTGCCCTCCTTCTTATCTAATTAATTATATAAACCATTTAAAACTAAATTCTTTGCATCTCATATTGTTTCTTAGACCTCTTATATCTTTCCTAAATTTTTGAGCTTTTATACATAATCCAATTTTTATAACAAAACTTCTTATCTTTGATCATTTCATGCATATTTTGATTCTATCACAAACTATTTTTACTATTTGGAGATTTATTTTTTTGATACTATAAGTACTTTCTTTACAACATTCTTAATATCACTAGCTATTTTTTTCATATAATATTAGCTTCCTCATGCACAATTAAAATCTTAAGATCTTAAAGTTCACTCTTAAAAATATTTTCATTAGTGCTCTATAAATGCCCCATCTAATCCTAGGACAATATATTACTTTATATTTCATATTCTACTCATTAATCCTCTTGAAGTCCAAAACTAAGAAGCAATGTTGGGTATATAAACTTTCACTCATAGTAACATTATAATTTGTTTTATATTAACTTTATAATCTTTGCAATCTAAACGATATATTTTTCTTATAAGAAAGAAATAAATCCGAGTTTTATTATATACGTTCTTATAAGTGACGATATACTCATCTCTTTTCATAAACAAGATATTAGTAATTACAAAATTATAAGCTATAGCATATCTAATATGGTCCAAACGCCTTTATTAGTCGCTCAAACCCCGTAGTCATTATGAATGCTCTTAAAATCTTCTACCCCTCCATAAGAATGTCCATTTAAATATTCTCTAATAAAAAAAATTCTTCAAGATATGCCCTATGTATTAATTCTTCTAGATAATTCAAAATTTTTTATTTTAAACACATTAAAATCTACTTGAGAAGAATAAATACTTATCATATTAATAATCTTAGCATTAACAGAAATCTTTAAAATTGCAATTCTATCTAAAACTCTAAGATGTAAGAACCCTTACATATTAAATATTGCACCCGAGCATCAGTGCAATGTGGCCCTTAAACAGTTTTCACTATATTTAGGTCATACATGTTGCTTCTTATAATAAATAATTATATGTAATCCATAACAACCTATAGTTACACATTATCTTCTTACATAAGTGCTTTATAACACAACGTTATTGTTGAATTAATATTTAAATGAATTGGATTAATTCAATTTAGTATATAATAAAGTATAATAATTTGCAAATTTGAGAAATAATAGAGTTCGCAAAATTTATCAGAATGCTTAACCTAATGTGCATGAAATATAAAATGTAACAACAAAAAATATATAAAAAGTATTATAAAACAAAATTTTGACTTGATGTTTGAATTAAAGCGCTTTGGTGTTGTGCTTTGAAGCATTATGATGCTAGGCTTGAGAGCACAATGGTGCCAGAAACCTCCACCACGGTATTAGAGTCTATGTTATATAGTGATTGTGGATTCAACATGCTGCACTAGATCGGAGGGCTGTAGCGTTAGGCCACTAATATATATATATATATACCCATGTGTAGGAGAAAGGGGAGAGAGAGAGAAAAAAAATCAAATTTGGTCATTTTTTTCGTCGTTTTTGTTATAAAAAGTCGATTGATCATTTTAAGCAACATGAATCTCACTTTAGTTTTCAATAATTTTGAGTTTGACAAATTTATTCTCTCAAGTCAATAAAATATATTCTCTCCTAATTTATCGCATTTTTACTATGTAACTTTTTGTATATAATAGATATGGATATTATAGATATTTTAAATATAATATTATTAAATTTCATTGATTAGAATGAAAGTTATGATTTTTGTAAGCTATCGATTATTATATAAATTTTCCTATATTTATAAATTTCAGCATTTCACATTACATTTCATGCATGAAAGAGAGATTGATGCAACTAATATAAAATAAATATAATGTGGGATCAAAAAATTTAAGTCTCGACCTCTCCACAGACTCCTTTATTCCTTTCAGGTCATTGAGGAGAGTTTTAACGCTTAAGTTTCGAGATAAATTTTTAGAAAGTAGATTGGGTTTTGAATAAAGCATCACCTTTAGATTTTGCCCTTATTTTGCGAGGACTTTATGATATGAGTTCAGGTTTCATATAGGCGCAAGCTCAATAGTTAATTATCACTCCCAATAGTAAGAGAGAACTTTCAATTAAGGATAGTCATCAAACAGATACAGATTATCTAGCATATAGTAGCAACATGTTTAAGTAACTGAAATTTTAATATTTAAAATTAGAAAATTACCACCTTACACTTAAACCGGATGGTGGGGAGGGGCGGATGATGATAGACCCATTTAAGATCCCATGGTTCCGTCATCCATGGTCATCATGGTCCATAGTCTACTTAGTCAGATGGGGTAGTTGACCCAACTTAATAGAAAAATTCTTGACGACAACCATGGGTTACTTTATCTTAAGGTACCTTATAGACCTGTAATGAATATTTGTTTAAGGGGACAAATTTGAAACCACCTTAGCTAAGAAAGGGCTTTATGTCCTATCAATCATATCCTATTGATTCAGCACAATTGGAGAACATATTGACTCTAATCATAACCATAATTTAATTGTGTCATTTGATGGCAAAATCATATGGTCAGATGGTCCTGATCAAAATTATATATATGTGGTACAATTTGGCTGTAAAATTATCAATTAAATGACATATGTCACATTCTTATTGGCAAGAGATGTATTGAGAATGAATCTTAGTGATATTATCGACCAGGCATTCATTCTCTATGAGCTGAAGTGATTTTCAAATTTATTCATTTGGCAAACCATTGCAAAGGTCGATGGATTTTACTTTAAGTGTTTAGGTGTTTTTTTAAAAAAAAATTAAATATTTAGGTTCTGTTAATTATTGGGATTTTGGATTTTCATGAATATCTGGGAATTTATTAGGCATTTTTAAATATTTGGGATACCCTCAAGTTGAGATTTTTTTTTCTTAACACAATCGTCATGGGAGTGTTCATGGTAAACTTCATTTTATTGATTGAACATTGTCGACTATATCTACTTATCGACAAAGGATCAAATTCTTTGTTAGCTATATGCCTTTATTAGTGAATTTTTTCTTAATGAAGACTCTGAATGCCTAATATGAATGATTGAATGTA